GAAGCAGACTCCCTGCTGAGCAGGGAGCCCGACGTGGGACTCGATCCCAGGACCCTGGGATCACGACCTGAGCTGAAGGCAGCCGCTTAGCTGACTGAGCCACCCAGGTGCCCCTAGAAAGTTATCTTTAACATATGTCATTGTACTCAGCAATATCCCATAGTTTGAAAAAGCCAGTGTCTCCCCAACTTAGCAGATTGTGAGGTAGTAGCCAGAGCACTTGAAGGAAAACTAAGGCGGGTGGGGACCGTAAGCATCATGGAAGCCATAGGAAGAAGGAAAGGAATGGCCAGTAGGGTTAAATGTATCAGTTAGGATGGTTTAGGCTGAAATTAACAGAAAATCCCCTCTAAAACTAGATTAAACATTGAAGAAATGTATTATCTACATAAAAGAAAGAGCAAGAATAAAAGGTGAGGGGACGCCTGGGTGGCTCAGTCGGTTAAGCTTCTGCCTTCCGCTCAGGTCACGATCTCAGGGTCCTGGAATCGAGTCCCGCGTCGGGCTCTCTGCTCAGCAGGAGGCCTGCTTCTCCCTCTGCCTGCCGCTGCCCTGCTTGTGCTCTCTCTCTCTCTGACCAAATAAATAAATAAAATCTTAAAAAAAAAAAAAAGAATAAAAGGTGAGGGGTGGTCTTCCCTTCCCAACTGTATTTCTTTTTAATCTGAGTGAGCCACTTTGGTTCATGTGTATACTTTGGACCAGCAACAGTCACCAGGGGAAAGCTGTGCTCTGATTGGCTCATGGTCTATCCACCCTTGAAGTTGAGATCACCTTCTTTGAAACACATGAGGAAAGAGTGTAGAAACTTGAATAAAATTGGGGTTTGGCTGTAAAGGAAGAATGGAGAAATAGAAACTGGGTAGACAGCTGACAATGAGTACTTAACAAGTATCAAGATAAGAGCTAAAGAAGCTGGTTGGATTCAGCAACATGGAGATAATTATTGGTGCCCTTGGGGAAAGACGCTCAGTGGTGTGATGGCTGTGGCCGACTGTAGAGGGCTGAGGATTGAATGGGAAGTAAAACATGGATAAACTGACTAAAGACAGCTCCTTTTAAAAAAAGAAAGAGGGGGGCTCCTGGCTGGCTCAGTTGGTAGAGATCAACTCCTGATCTCCGGGTTATAAATTTGAGCCCCACATTGCGTGTAGAGAGTACTTAAAAATAAAATCTTTTAAAAAAGAGAGAGAGATGGGGCGCCTGGGTGGCTTAGTCGTTAAGCGTCTGCCTTCGGCTCAGGTCATGATCCCAGGGTCCTGGGATCGAGCCCCGTGTGAGGCTCCTTGCTCAACGAGAAGCCTGCTTCTCCTCCCTCTCCCACTCCCCCTGCTTGTGTTCCCTCTCTCACTGTGTCTCTCTGTCAAATAAATAAATAAAATCTTTTAAAAGAGAGAGAGAGAGAGGGAAGGTGAGGAATTGAGTAACGGCACTTCTAATAAGGAGAGATTTGAACATCTAAAAACATTAATGGGGGAGATCTAGTTTAAAGGGAAATGTTGAGGGGCACTTGGGTGGCTTAGTCAGTTGCTCATCTGATTTGTTTTTAAGATTTTATTTATTTGAAAGAGAAAGAGTGCACACATAAGTTGGGAGTGGCAGAGGGAGAGGGAGAAGCCGACTTCCCTCTGAGCAGGGAGCCCAACACAGGGCTCCATCCCAGGACCCTGAGATCATGACCTGAGCCAAAGGCAGATGTTTAACTGACTGAGCCCCAAGCGCCCTGAGTGTCTGACTCTCGATTTCGGCTCAGGTCGTGATATGGGTCGTGAGATCGAACCCCATGATGGGTTCCATGCTGGGTGTGGGTCTGCTTAAGATTCTCTCTCTCTCCCTCTCCCTCTGCCCCTTCTCCCCCACATGAACCCAGACTCTCTCTAAAAAGAAAGAAAGAATGAAAGAAAGAAAAAATAATTGAGTGTAATAATTGAACCTTAAACATGAAGTCAGAGAATTTTATAATGCAGATTATTAATGATACAGGGATATTCTTCTCAGAGAACTTTGTTCAGAATGATTGAGCTTGGATGAGAGTACATGTGGTAAACTGGAGATTCCTTGTTTTAGGCGATTGGTGTGCATGGCAGCCTTCCCCCCACCTCCTTTCACCCCATCCCTGATCACCACCTTGTCCCTGACCCCTATTCCAGGTCGTGGGTGGGTTATAAATGAAGTCTCAGGGATGAGATGAACTTAGAGAAGAGATGAGGCTGTCTGTTTTATATATTACTTGGTAATAAAATTTTCCAAAAAACCCTGAAAGCTTATTAGATTTTTAGATGAGTTAAAATGTCATGATTAACTAATTCTGGTGTATAGTATACCCTCAACAAAGTGGCCATGGTTATACTTGTCATTGTTACTTAGCCCCAGAGAATTAGCACCTCTAATTTTTCAGTTTTTCAGTTCCCCAGAATTAGTCTCCTCCCTCTCCTCTATCTTCCCATAGTGTCTTGTCCGTTTCCCTAGTATAGGACCTAGTTCATTCTTCTGTATCAATATTTCCTTTTCTTTCTCTCTCTCTTGTCTGAATAGGAACCATCTTTTATTTAACTCTGTATCTCCCAGAACCTAACACATAATATAACATGTAACTATGTGTCTGGCACATTATAAGTGCTCAAAACAATGGTTTCTCGGGGCGCCTGGGTGGCTCAGTGGGTTGAGTGTCCAACTCTTGGTTTCAGCTCAGGTCATGCTCTCGGGGTCTTGAGACTGAGCCCCATGTTGGGCTTCACGCTCAACGGGGGGAGTCTGCTTGAGATTCTTTGTCTCCCTCTCCCTCTGCCCCTCCCCCTGCTCTCTCTTCCTCTAAAATAAATCTTAAAAGCAAAACAATGATTTCTCCAGTGTAGATTGTTTCTGATGACCCATCAGTCATCCCTGCTGCCCTGTGAGAGCAGATTATTTATTTATTTATTTTAAGATTTTATTTATTTATTTGAGAGAGAGTGAGAGAGAGCATGAGAGGGGAGAGGGTCAGAGGGAGAAGCAGACTCCCCACTGAGCGGGGAGCCTGATGCGGGACTCGATCCCGGGACTCCGGGATCACGACCTGAGCTGAAGGCAGTCGCTTAACCGACTGAGCCACCCAGGCCCACGAAAGGATTTTAGTTGAATCAGGGGTTAATGGCTTGCCTTTGCTAGCTGCAGTCACCTGTTCTTGCCCCACGAATGACACACCTGCAGGCAGAAATACTCACCCACCTTCATGGCACCTTCTGTAGCCAGTGCTTCAAGAATTTGAGCAGATCCTTGTTCTTTGAGCTTCTATTTTCTAGACTAGAAGTGACCCCTCTCTTCTCATCAGGTCTCACTACCCTTGACTACACGATAGCTTCAGGGATATTAACAGAATAAAACTGTACCCTACTTGCTTTGATTGGGATCTGTCTGTTCTTCCTCCAAACCCTTAGCCATTTATTCTGAGATGATTGCATTGAATTACTTTCTACAGGTAGTTAGTTTTATCCATGTTTCCCCCCGTGGGTTTTTTCCTGAGAATAACTAATATTCAAAGTCTTTTTTCCAAAATCCCCTTTTTGAGTAGCGCCGCCAATATTTGTCTGTTATTCTTTTTCCTTCTTTCTTTTTTTTTTTTTTTTAAGATTTTATTTATTTACTTGACAGAGAGAGAGAGACAGCGAGAGAGGGAACACAAGCAGGGGGAGTGGGAGAGGGAGAAGCAGGCTTCCCGCTGAGCCAGGAGCCCGATGTGGGGCTCAATCCCAGGACCCTGGGATCATGACCTGCGCCGAAGGCAGACGCTTAATGACTGAGCCATCCCGGCTCCCCTTTCCTTATTTCTTAAACACAAAGCTGTCTTAACTAATTGAATGTTTTTGCTAAGTGCAGTGAAAGAATACACTGATTGGTCTGGAGGATTTGCTTGTTTGGAAGCTACTTTTAGTGACCAAGCATAGCGTGACTCTTTTAGGTGATTTGAAGTTATCTCTCAAAGGGCTTTGTTAATTCCCGGGTGTCAGAGGGCCTCAAACTTGTAGCCCCTGTACTAACAACAAAACTGTGCTCAGATGTTAGTGGAACAGAAACTTCACCAGTCTTGAGAAAAGACGTGTGTCAGTCTTGATGATCACATTTTTTTCCCTGTCAATTCAGATCAATCCTTTGAATTTTATCTTTGATAGGACTGATAGTATGACTTTTGCTACCTATAGCCTTTACCTTTGATAATAAACATTACCTTTATCCTCTTCCCAAATACCAACCAAACCGTGTGACTGCCCCTAAAAGGCGTCTCTGCCTTCTCTCCTTTGGTAGTTCTTTCTTCTTGCCCACTTGAAACCTTTCTCTACTTCACTGCCTATCCAGTTTGACCTATTCTTTAGGGCCTATCTGATGTACCATCTCCTCCAGGAAACTTTTCCTTGATTTTGGCCTTATTCACGCTAGTGTGTTTAGTCGTGCTCTATACATTCTACCTAACACGGTTAGGGATTTCATGTTTATGCCTGTTCATTTATGAAGTCCTCGAGAGCGGGGACCATGCCTCTTACCTCTCCAATACCACGCACAGCCTACTCTCAGCACAAGTGTTTAATTGATACTCATTGAATTGAACTGAATCAGATCAGATGTCTTAGAGAGCTATTGTCATCTCTTTCTCATCTCAGTCAAGATGTTGACCGAAGCAACCAGAACAAAACTTACTTTAGGGAGGTCCAAATAAGTTAGGTATCACACATTCTCAAGAAAAGGTTCTTTTTCCTTTGTTGAAGTCAGAAGAATCCTTTTCCACTTGATAACTGCAGTGGTAACTTTATTTTTTATTTTATTTTTTTTAAGATTTTGTTTATTTATTCGAAAGAGAGAGAGCATGAGCAGGGGGGAGGGGGAGAAGCAGACTCCCTCCTGAGCAGGAAGCCAGATGTGGGGCTCGATTCCAAGACCCCGGGATCATGACCTGAGCCAAAGGCAGTCGCTTAACTGACTGAGCCACCCAGGTGCCATTAATGATGGTTTTTGCTTGTCTCCAATAGGCTGCACGCTAAATGGCCAAGAGGTAAGATTCACTGTCCACTATGAAAATGGGTTCACTATCTCCAAGGAAAATGGAGGTTCCAGCAGCATACTGTATCGCTACCCCTTTGAAAGGCTGAAAATGTCTGCTGATGATGGCATCAGAAATCTGTACCTGGATTTTGGTGGTCCTGAGGGAGAACTGGTAAGAGTGTTTCTGGGAACCAGGTTTACTCTAATAGGTATTTTCTTTCTTTCTCATTGCTTCTTACCTTTTGTATAGAAAATTATGGACTAATAGTCCATTTGGAGTCAGGAAATTGTTCTTCGGTTTTCAAGATGTATTGGGATGGGGTTTGGGATGTATGTGTGTATGTGTTTTTCTTTTCCCCACATTAGGAACTCATTCCTTTTTAAAAAGTTTTGTTTGAATGGTAGAAAGAAAAAATGGATAGCCCTTTTAAGAAATAGGCTTTTATCAAATATAAGCTATAAAATACAAAAGCTGGTAAACTTTAATAAATAAATTCTATCCATTACTATTAATAGTTGGTTGAGATGAGTTAAAAGTGATAGAATGACTTGGTTACTACAGAAATTCTGCTGATCAGAAAAAAAAGATACAGAGCTATCTTCACACAGCCATCTTTTTTTTTTTTTTTTTTAATCTCCTTGTTTTTTAAGGAAAGATCAGCAGGAATTCATGATTTCCCCTAGGGAACCACAGAAGTGTGTCAGGTGTACTTCAGAAATCATAAATTATGACAGATAAAGGAGTAAAATAATGCCTTTTCTGTCTTATCAGTTTTGAGCCAATAGTTCAAGTATTATACATGAAATATTTTGTCTATTGACACAATCACCATAGGTGGAAATTTGCAAAACAGAATCTTGACATTTTATTACTGAAAGAGATCTGAGAGATATTAACCTCCAAATAAGAAATCATGTCTAGAAATCTCATTTTTAATGAAGAACCGTTAGGAGACTTTGGTTGGGCCATGGACCAGAGCTTTTCAAAAGCCTGAAGCACCCATTTGCAAGGACGTGGATGGAGCTAGAGGGTATTATGCTAAGCGAATTAAGTCAATCAGAGAAAGACAATTACCATATGCTCTCACTCATATGTGGAATTTAAGAAACAAAACAGAGGATCATGGGGGAAGGGAGGGAAAAATAAGACAAAGTCAGGCGGGAGACAAACCCTAAGACAGTCTTAATCATGGGAAACAGGGTTGCTGGAGGGAAGATGGGTGGGGGGATGGGGTAGCGGGGTGATGGACATTGGGGAGAGCATGTGATGTGATAAGCACTGGGTATTATATAAGACTGATGAATCACTGAACTCTACCTCTGAAACTAACAATAAACTATATGTTAATTAATTGAATTTAAATTAAAAAAAAAAAAGAAATGGGAAACACATTCCTCAGAAGGCCAGAAGGAAGTATACTCTGAAGCATCAAATCACTGATTTCCCACCCAAAGGTCTTTGATTAGATCAGGGAGTGTTTTAAGGGCCTCAAGAATCCAATAAGCACTTTAAAATCATTTGGATTTAAGCATTGTATCTGTATCTCGGGTATATTTGACCTTGCTGGGAAATAAAGATATGTGCATATTTAAAAAAAAAGCCTGAAGCATTAGTCAGAGTTAAATGCTTCTATTAAATTAACTTCTGTTAAATTCACCAGTTACTAATAGCAGTTGTCATTTAGCAAGCTATGTCTTAGATTATTCCTGGCTATATAGTTTTAATCTCTGCTTTATATTTAATATATACAAAGTTTAATGATGAAATTCGTGCTCTGTAACTTATATTTTGAATAAAGTTATATTTTTCTTTAAAAGGCATAGTTAACTATGTCCTATTCCTGGTTTCTGCATCAGTGCCAATGACTGACGAATCACTTCACTCACGCAGCCTGATGGCAGGTCTCCTTGTTCACCTGGTGTCAGCTGTCCAGATAGAGGCCTGAGCTTAGGAAGCTATGACTAGCCCTCCTAACTAGCCTCAGGAGTTGTCATTCCCACCACAAACCTATGAAAGATACCAAAAATCATACCCATCCATAGTCACATTCAGCTGAGTTCACTGTGATCCGCCGCTGGGAATATAATCATAATTAACAGTCTCCATATAGGGTATTCCTCTTTCTTTTCCATCTTCTACTGTTTAATTCTCCCTACCAGGCACGGTGGAATCCAGCACCCCACCACTTTTCTCCTAACTGTGACATGGAGGCTCACACTAGTGTGTCATTACTACATGGAATGACCTTACTTCAGAGAATACTTTGCATTTGTAGCTTTAAGTTCCTGAGAGACGTTTCCATAAATCCAGCACCTTCTTAATACACATTCTTTCTAAAAAGTAGAACATCACATCCAAATTTGTTTATTTTGTGTCTGTGTATGGTAGTGATAATTCTTATGCTTTCCCCACAGACCATGGACCTTCACTCTTGTCCGAAGCCGATCGTTTTTGTATTGCACACGTTCTTGTCAGCCAAAGTCACTCGCATGGGACTGCTCGTATGAGCAGCACAAAATCAGAAAAGAGTCATGAATGTCACAAGAAGTATTTCCACCTCAAAAAAAAAAAAAAAAGCACAAAAAGAAAGCTCTTTGCTCTCCCCTCCAGCACAGTGCCTTGACAAGGACCTGCAGATCACTGCTGACCAGTAACCGTGTTTAAAGAAGAGCCTGCCTTTCACAAGCTACCTTGGCCAGAAATTCTAGGACTCTAATAAGTTCCAAACGAAGCTGTTGATTTATTGCCTCATTTCCTAATGTGGTTTCTAAGTCACTAGGTTTATTTCCCCTATGAAGAAGGATGGCTCGTTGTGGGTTTTTTGTTTTTTGTTTTTTTGGACATAATCAAATATCCAATTTTTTTGGACATAATCAAATATCCAAGAGTTGTTTTCATTTTCTTCCTACAGGATTCGTTCCAAGCTTAGCCTTGACATCTTGCTTAGTTCAACCATCTCTTGCCACATGCTAGTTTACAGCCACCTGTGCTTGGCCATTCTAGATAGGTCAGATGTGGTCTTGGAGCTTACTGTCACATAATCCTTCCACCCTAGGAAGTCCTTGAATTTCACACCAAAGCGTTCTCCCATCTGTCCTGGCTCTCCTGCATCCCACCCTGGCCATCACTTTCCTACCACATCACGAGCTTTGCCACTCATAAGTGCTAACTTTAGGACTTAGAACTTGTGAAATTTGATTTGCCTTGCCTTCCACTCCCTTTCTAGTGGCGACCAAGTTGGAAACCACTGATTTGAAAGAAGAGGTTTGCTTGTTTTAGATTTTTCTGATTTATCTTTGGTAGGAGCCAGGTGATAAGATTTCTTTTAAAAGAAAATCCTCATTTTAGCCTAAGCCATTTTTTATTGCTTACCAAATGTGCCTTTGGTTAGGGTTAGTGGAGCTTTATTAGTCACTATTTGAATAACTGGATATCACTGCCGTTCCAGGGAGAGCATCCATCTTAGTTTTGAGGAATAGTCTTTGAGATGGGTTTCCTTAGGAGTATCTTTTCTAGTGGGCAGATCTCATTGAGGAAGATAAATCTTGGAGAGCCCACTTGTTTAAAGAGTAGGCTCTGTAAAGCCAGCTCTTCAGCACAAACATCCGGTGGAGTTGCCTTGGGCTTTGTGGGCCCATGCTGGATCCTGGCCCTTTTGTCCTCTCCCTTTGTGGCAGCAGAGTGGCATGGATAGGCAGCTGCTAATTCAAGACTCACTGTTGGCTTAGTAATGCATTCTACAGTGGGCGGGTGACGAGACCACGGAACAGCTACCTGGATTTTGCTAAGCATTGCCAGATGTCATCATTATGACTTAGTAGCAGTAAGATTGCTGGTTTTGTGGTATCAAAGAATCACACTCAGCTTGTTTTTCCTAATTATGAAGGAGGTGTATATCTGAAAACATTTAAAATAGGATAATAGCTATATAAAATGTCAAGATTACTGCAGTCCCCAGATCTGAAAGAAAAGGGAATATTGACTTGAATGTTCTCTGAAGAAAAGTCTAGGAATAGTTCTCACTTACTAGATTTATTAGGAGTACTATAAGAGGATGTGAGCACTTCAGAGAGTGGAGGAGGGTAGCACTCCATATAGGGAGGAAAAACCCCACAACCATAAATACAAAACATGAGCTGTTTGGTGTGAGTGCAGACTGACCTAGGTGGGACATTTGAAAGAGCAGACTCATGAGCAGAGAGTTTGAGTTAGACATTGTAACCCCACTGTCTTTCTTCTGCCCATAAGTCAGTCCTCCTTCCCTTTGTACAGTGAGATTAACCACACGCAGGGGCTGGGGAGAGAGAACTGATAACTGTTCTTCCCCCAGCTACAGTTCCAAAAATAAATGACTTGATCCACTTAAAACTGGAAATTGGAATCTAGACTAGAATATGTCTTTCAAGAACTTTTTTTATGTTTTAAAGATTCATAAACCTATGTTTGGTTTCATCTGAAGTAAATTTGCAAGGGAAGAAAAAAAATATCTTGAAGGTCCAGCTGTGATTTCTGGAAGCAGAATTTCAACACCTAATACCGTCAGATAAGGGAGCTTAGACACTCTTTGCAGTGAGAGCATTATTAACCTGAAAAGTTGCACAATGCAGTCACAGATTTTGCAACAAAGCCATGTGGTTGAGGTTTTCTTGGTTAGTGTGAAAGGCTAAGCCACTGAGAAATTTTTCAGGCAGAACTTCTGAGCCCCCGTGCTCATCAGTTACATGAAAAAGATCTCTAAAAAAGGTGTGATAAACATGTGAGCCGGAGAAGGTAAAGTGTGTGAGCCATTTTGGCTCATTTTGTTCAAGCTTGGTTTTTTAAATCTTTTGAGTCTTAATGTGAAATGAAAATGTGTGGGAGATTTCCTTTGACCACTAGCACCCCCAAGAGCAAGAGCCCTTAAGCTGCTTGTGTAACATCAACAGCTTTCCAATCATGGGTGACCAGCTTGTTCTTCAATTAAGTGTGTTTATGGAATTTTCAAACCACAAATGAAGTGCTTTTTATGAATAGGACAGCCTTGATAAATATGTATTTTGTATTAAGATGCCAAAATATGGCAAATTATTTTAACTAAAAATGGGCATTTGGGGTATTTCACACCTTTTATAGAACAGCTTAACTTGTCATTTCTTTTTCATTTTGAATTAGGAAAATTGCTGAGAATGTTGTGGGCTTCCATGTATAGAATGGAAAAGAAGCTGCAGAGTAGTATCCACCTCATCCCAATGGACCCAATTCCTGTGCCCTCAACTACCCCCCAGACCTGGGGCTTAGACATCTTTCCATATTCCACACAGATGTCTACAAGTAGCCAATTGGCATGTGAAAATTCTTCCTCCTCATTCCCTAAAATTTCTCCCTTTCCTCTCGAAAGAAAGAACCAATGAAAGAAAGAAAGAAAAAGAAAGAAAGAAAGAAAAGGCTCAGTTATTCTTTTTCTGAAAAAGGTAAGCCCTTTCATGAATTTATCAAACAAACCTTACCTGGAAATTAATATCTAATATTTTATATGAAGAAATACTTTAATGTATGTTTATACAGTATTTATTAGATACTTATAACTGTAAACTCACCTACCTAGTAGACAGTTACAGATTAAATATTGGGACATGTACAAGCAATCAAAAATATTACTTTAAATGTCATTCACCTCTTTTAAAGCCGTGTTTTAGCACTTTTTAGGCTAGGTAAAGTCTGATAGTGCCTGTTTTTATCAGCTGTACCCTCACAAACGTTGTTATGGAACATTATTGGATGGCAGGAGAGATTGAATTATTTATTTCTTATATTTTTATAAGTGGAAAAATTTAACCAACAAATGATTAAAGTTGTCACTGATTATTTGTTTTCCTAATTTATCTTCCTAAGCAGAATGGTAACAAAGCTTTTTTCAGCTGATTAAATGCACTTAGCTAATAAACCAAAATTTATTCTTTAAAAAAATTAAACTGTGTGGAATCTGGACAAGATTATGTTTTTCCCAGAAAAAGTTTTCACTGTAAATGGTTTTGATGGACAAAAGTGTGACCACTTCTGAGAAAAGGTTACAATGGATTTTTTTTTTTAATTTTGTGAGATCCTCCAGGTCTTCTTGTTTAATTTATGTGCATGTGGTTATATTTGTATGTTTTCAAAAACATGGAAGAATCTCCATGTTTTTAACGCAAATTATATTGTAAGCTGCTATGCAAATTCTATTAAAAGCCCTACCTACTTAAAAGTTAAACATTTTTGAAGATTTCAGGGAAGACCTGTAGACTTAAGCACTTTCTCTGCTTTTTTGTATCTTATCTTGGACACTTACGCTGAACTTTGTTCTTATTATTTTCACTGGTTATAAGCTATTGATTGTACATAATATTGAAACTATCCAAATATCCAGCATACATTTCCCTGTCACTGCCATCCATCATTGACACCCTGAATGAATGGCTGGGTGGAAAGCCAAAGGTCATCTTTTTTCAATTGCTAATGAAGACGTAAAATGCCAGGTCTCTTTGGTCTCAAAGCAGATTGCTCTAGTCAGATCAAGTATCTATGTAAGGAAAAGAGAATTCTTTAAATTTGGGATTCCGCTAGGGGCGCCTGGGGGCTCAGTCCTTAAACGTCTGCTCAGGTCATGATCCCAGGGTCCTGGGTTGGAGCCCCATGTCGGGCTCCCTGCTCAGCAGAGAGCCTGCTTCTCCCTCTCCCGCTCCCCCTGCTTGTGTTCCTGCTCTCGCTGTGTCTCTGTCAAATAAATAAATAAAATCTTAAAAAAAAGAAAAGAAAAGAAAATTTGGGATTCTGCTTAAACTTTAAGTTTAAGTTGAATTTGACCATAATCATATTCACTCTTTTTGTATGTATATCTCTATCAGGTCTATAATGTACCAGGTGGTATTATATTATATTCTGTCTTAAGTTTGGAAATCTCAGTTAAATTTAAATTGTTATTGTGGCTTTTTTATTCCCCCTCCTGAAGATGAAAGCAGAGGAATCTGCCATTTGCTACTGTTCTCTCTCTCTCCCAAGATTGCTTGGTAATCTAGAATTCTTTTACTTTCTACATACTGTCTAAAAACTGACAGCAGCAGTCTCTCCCCTCCCTCCTTTTTTAAAGCTGTCTCCTTCCCTGTGCTGAGTATATAGACAATAAATGTGTGATGGCAGACAATTATAAAGTAATTATGTTGTGTATCAGGATTATGTGTTTTTGAGCAATATAGCTACTCCTATCACGTAATGATAAGTGAAACTTATGCTGGAAATAGACTGCTTAGTGGCAGATTTGAAACCATTTCTCTAAAAAAAAAATAGATCTGTTAGATCAATGATAACAGATTCATTCTATCAAAGGATAGAATTTCAAGTTAAAATAAGGTACCAAAAATAGGTTCATAGAGCACACCTGTACATCTATTGTTTGTTGTTGGTTTTTTTTTTACAGTAGCTAAACTACCAACTAGAAGAATGGTTTTTATGTATTAACTCAACAAAATATTTTAATAAGATTTCTTCTTTTGTTTCAAAACTGATAAACTTGAGCTTAATCTCTTGCCACCTCTATTCTTCCCACTTCAGGTGACTGAACCAAAGCAGACTTAAGTTTTGAAAGTGAATCTACATTTCGTGTGATTCATAAATAATGCCATTTGCAAATGATCCTTGCTCTCTAATGAACATTTGGCTATATTCAAAAAAAACCTACCCTCCGAACTGTAATCCTTGAATTGCTCCAAAATAGATTGGTTGAAACTAAAAAGCTATAATAGAGAAACGATGCTTTATTATATTGTAAGATTAGCTACCCTGGTAGATTCCTAGTACCTTCCTCATTTCTGTTGTTATCTTACCTCCATGCTATTTACACAAATGCTTTGTTTTAGTGTCCCTCTTTATCCCAGTCACATATTATACCCTTGGAACCTGAGCGCTCTGTCACCTCTTCCAAAGTGATAGAAGTCTCTTGTGAATAGACAAAATGTTCTTTGGGGGCCTGGAGGAACTCTGAAACTGCAAGGCTAATTAATGACATATTAATTCAAGTATTGTTTCATCTAATAAGCATTTATTAGGTATTCTGAAGGGTCCAAAAGAAAGTTCCTGCCCTCAAGTAGCACATAATCCATTATTTCTCATTTACACCATGCCATCTATCAATCAATCAGTGGTTAAGTAACTAACCACTTCATACTTTTACCAAAGTACCTCTGCAGTTCTGCTCCCCTGGCTGACTGGAAAACGTTTAAAATGATGCTTGGTCTTTGGTGCATGCCGACATGAAAGAACTCCAAGCACATTTAAGTAGGTCAGTCTTTTTATTATGCTTAATTTTTTTAATGCAAAATTAGACTTTTTGGCTCAGTTGGTGGGGCATGCGACTCTTAATCTTGGGGTTGTGAGTTTGAGCTCCATGTTCGTTGTAGAGATTACTTAAAAATCTTTTTCAAAAAATCAGACTTTAGTTTGGGAAGAACAGTGTAGAATATCCCTAGGAATAAATTACAACAACAACAAAAGCTCTTTTGCCCAAAGTGGATCAACAAGAAAGTCTTTTTAAAGAAATGCTTTTTAAACTATAAAATAGCAAAACTGAATGTATATTTCATCTACACCTATTTCTAAATTGTGCTGATGCATGCATTTCCACACTTACACCCTTTAAACATCTCATTTGCTGAAAGTCCTTATCCATGGTAAAAGCAACATTTGTCTGTAATGGTGTGTCAAAATGAAGATATTTTAAACCTAGCAAAATTCCACTTATTCTAGAACACTCTGACACTCAAACTCAATAAAAAGGACACCTAAAGGAAACAAGGAAGGCTAGTTGAATTTTTCCATAATTTTCATACAGTGACAGCCCCCTCCCATCCATCTTGCCTTCCATTTATTACTAGGGTCAGTTTTTAAGGCAGCATCCTTCATCATACCCAGAAAGTACCTCAGTCATCTGTGATTGGAATGGCACAGGGCACACAGTAACGTGGGCTCCTTCCCCTTTGTTTTCCAGCGTCCCTAAGTAGTGCACACAAATTAGGTCCTGCCTTCAGTGTGTCCTCCTTTAAATCTACGCTTTGACAATCAGGTGCTAATGATTCTATGTTACTGGAACCAGAACATAAGTATTGTCGTGTGTCTGTTCCTTCTAGATTGGCAGAAGTGCTTTCCTTCCATCTTAGTCCTGTTCGAGAGGATACCAGTTGTGTTTTTCACCTGTTTTGTGAATTGCTAAAATTTGGGGGAGAGGAAATGATTTCAACTAAGTTTTGGGTTTCGCACAATCATCAATCTCAGTGATATTCTTCACACCTGTAGCAAGTCTGCCCTGATTACAAGAACCGATTTTAGTTTTGTAATTTTTTTCTCCAGCATAAGACTCCAGTATTATGTTTACAATCTGTTGGATGTGTTCAGCATGGTAAGACCTTGGTGCCCAAAGAATCTGTTTCCCTTTTGGTACCAGACCCAAGATCTTCTAGAAGATAATGTGGCAAACCACTACCTATGAAGGCCTATTTTGGCTAATCTGTGGGCAAATTCTGATTATACCCCCTTGTATGTATTTTGTTCCACACAACTTTCACTTTTGTTAAGTATTAAGTCTTCGAAATCTAGAATAATTCTTCTACAAGAAATTAAAAGAATGTGATATTCTGGTTTTTTCTTCTTTGAGAACCCTGTATTTAAACAAGACTTCTTTTTAAGTGTTGTTTAAAATTTAGTTTTCAAATCTTCTGGTATCACCAGACTACCAAATCAAAACTTATGGCATAAAACAGGGCAGTATTTGTGTTCTTAAGAATTAAAAAAAGCTTTATGTGTACTCTATAAATATAAATGCATAAACAACACTTCCCCTTGAGTTGCACATCAACATACAGCATTGTACATTACAATGAAAATTTGTAACTTAAGGATATTATATATATAAATACATATATACCTTTGTAACCTTTATACTGTAAATAAAAAAAATGCTTTTAGACTTGTATTTTTTCTTTTATTTTTACGTTAAAATGGTTTCAAACCATTTTGAAAATTTCAGGAGCAGTACAAAGATCTCCTACATCCATCCTCTTCACCCAAGTTTCCCAGTTGTTCACATTTTACATTTGTTCCGTTTTCCCCTCCTGTCTTTCTCTGACATGTTGCTCTATCACCCCTAAGTCCTCAGTGTGTCCTACCAAACACAATGACGCTCTCCTGCACTGTTGCCATTCAGCCCTCCCCCCACCGGGACATCAACCCCGGCCCAACACTACCAACCACCCAAGCCACAGACCCCATTCACGTGATGCCAGTCGTCCCAGCAAGTCTCCTTTTCACTTCCAGCACAGGAGCCTCTCCAGTACCACATGTGGTGTTCATCTCTTCTGGTGTCATTTTTAAGCAGATGTAGGGCAACTCCAAACTCTTAAAAATCTAGTTTGGGTTGTACTTCCACCACTGACTTTCACCAACAGGAGCTTAATCATTGGGTCCATCTGAGCTTTATTATACTTTGAGTGACACAGAGGAGGGGAGATGGTTTCTCAGGAATCGTATCAGGAATCATCAGTGTTCCATGCGTTCGGGTGTCAGTCTCTTTGCATGAGATTTCGCCGTGGCCCTACCTCTCCAAACTGTTACTCACCTGAACTTAGTTTTTGTTGCTCTTCTTCCACACTCCTCTTGGCCCCCACTTCCTTAACAAAATTGTTAAGAACCCACTGCTTGGCAGGAGCCCAGAATGCTGGCATTCGTACGGTCTGATTTTACTGGGTTGTATTGGCTAAGCAGAATTGACTCGCTGGTCCAAGCGCAGGTTCCCGACACGCGCCGCATTGCCAGCATCAGCCGAATCCAGTCTGGGAAAGTGCGGTGCAGGAAGGCACCAATGGAACCGTGTATTTGCAAGTCAATGACTTTCTACCTGAAGTGTGGGCGCTCCAATGTGTGGGAGCTGAGAATCTGGTTTCTGCTCTAGCGAGAAAGTTAGAATATGAAGTTCTTGATCTGATTCGGATTTACAAAGCCTAAGCATGCTCCATGTGCCAGCCCACAAATCCTGTTTAGTGCCTTCATTTCCCCTTTCTCCCCTCCACGGACCCCCCCCACCACCACCACCAGCAATGGCAACACGACTGCAGAACTGAGGGCTTCTCAGAGTCTGGTTTCAAGCTATCCTCCAAGGAGAGTGTCAGCAACGGGCAACCAAGTGAGGTGGGGAGGAGATCCCCATTGCCTGCCATCAGAAGCGGCTGCTCAGTATAGAGCTTCTCTCCGGGACGGGGAGCTTCCTCTGGGAAGCTGTGCTTTGTCAGCGGGGCTGATGTCTGTACTGACAGCTCACCAAAGACAGAAGCTAAGCCACGAGTCGCAAGAAAGCCGAATAAGCAGAACAAAGAGACAGCGGACACAGCCAGGGGATCTCAAACCCAGCCCTCGCCGTGTGCTGAATTGTGCCTCACCAAATTCACGGGCCAAGCCCAACCCTCCCACATCTCACAAGGTGACTGTATTTGGTGATAGGCCCTTTAAAGAGGCAATTCAGTTACAATGAGGCCGTTAGGGTGGGCCCTTGGCCAATCTGACTGGTGTCCTTGGAAAAAAAAGGGCAGCTTGGACAGAGATAAGGTGTGCATGCGCACGCAGGAAAGACCCAGTGAGGACACAGCAAAAGCATGGCCATCTGTAAGCCAAGAGGCCTCAGAAGAAACCAACCCTGCTAACACCTTGATCTTGGACTTCCAGCCTCCAGAACTGTGGAGACAATTAATTTCTATTGTGTCAGCGCCCCCCCTTCTGTGATGACAGCCCTAGCAGACTAACCCAGCCCTCCTTAACTGCAGGGTCTTCCGACTCGTACAGCCCAGCCAGTGTGTGGGTTTAATCTGCTCTCGACTCGGCCTCACTCTCATCCACCGGTTAGGGGCCCTCTCTTTTATTTGCTCACTTACTACTTCTGGATGAATTCATCGTTAACACTGCCAGCAAATATTAAGTGAGCCTCTATCAAGCCTTGGGAAGGACCCAGCCCTGCCCTCTCAGGGATGGACAGGGCCGATGGCACGTGCGTAGCAGCACATACAAGCCTCCCCACCCGACACAGCTCCATCAGTGTCTGAAAGTGCAGGGTTCGGGGTGGAAGCTGAGAAGCCATGACTCGTCCCGTGTGTGTGTGTCCCTGTCTCACCCAGGCTCGTCACAGCCCTGTCCCACCACTGCAGCCACTCTCCTGCCTGCAGTGTCCACAGGCGCGCTCAGCACCTTGCTCGGCCTTTTGGTTTTTCAACCTCCTCGTGTATGACGTGTGTGAACAATGGCCCTTCGGCTCCAGCTCAGCCATCCTCCTACTCCCCCAGTCGCCCCCTAGACTCTTATTGCTGGAACGGAAGCGTCCCTCTCCAGCATGCTCCTTCAAACTTTTGGGTCCTCAATTAGTCCATGGGCTCTTTTACCTTCTCCTTATTCGTCTCCCACCTCACCCAGCCCCGTTTCCACAGGCCCCCACTGCACTCGCCCAAACCTGTGGATTCCCTGCTGCTCTGCCTTCACAGCAGCCACCTGGATGAACCCAGCTATCGTCCCACATCTCGCTGAATAGCTGAGTCCTGGGGAGGAAAGCTCAAGGCAGATTGGGACCTCTACTCATTTAGAGAGGCTGCCAACCTTTACCAGGTGCGCCCCTAACACTGCTCATTTTGGGGTCACTTAAAAGGATTTCAAACCATCTTTACTCTCCTCAAACCCCAGGCCTCCCACCTCTCTCTCTCTCTCTCTCAGCAGATTCTCTTTCCTCCTAATTCACTGAGAAACAGCAGCCGCCCCAAGGTACTCTCCCAACTTCTCGTTACCTCCCGGCTGACCTAGGTAGGCATCTATCTTCTTCCCTCCAACTACAATGTTTAAAGCTTGGATCCCGTTCCTGTTCATTAGCCTCCTCAACTAGATCCTTCCTATTGGATCAACTCTTCTCCCATTAAAACCCATCACAGATTCCTTCCTGGACCCCTCAACTCCTGCAGCTAATGCTCTAAACCTCCCTTTCTTTCCCCCAAACTTCTTGAAGGAGTTGTGCCTCCTCATGACCCCCTCTCAGCCAGCCCACTGCAGGGTAGTTTCCGCCTCCATCACATGACTGGAACATCTCTGGCTGAGGTGGCTGGTGTCTGCATATTACTGTTTGCCTCTTCAGCTGCATCAGATACGGTGCTCACCTCTCCTCCTCAGCTCTCCTTCCCTGACTCCCAAAACACTTTTGTGGCTATCCTCCCTCTCCAGCTGTCTTTCTGAGCTTCTTTGGCAGGCTCATCCTCCTCTCGCCAGCCAACAAACTTCCAAGTTCTGTCCTAGGCTCTCCCCTCACCTCAGCCTGCACTCTGCTCTGCCCTAGGAGATCTCATTGCCACGTATACCCAGATGTCTCTCAGCTCTTTATCTCTGGCCTCATCTTTATTCTGACTTCCAGACGCATCTAACTGAAACTTGATGATTCAAAGGCACCTCAAATTCGTGGTCTTCCTCACTCCTCCAGCCCTCAAACCTGGTCTCTGTTCAGTATTCCCCAACTCATCTGTCCAGGTCCTGAAGCCATAGCCCAGGAGTCACCTCTTTCCCTTCCTGCCCTCACCATACCCCAAATCTAAAACATTTCCATGTGCTTATGATTTGTCTTCCAAAATCTCTCATTCTATATGTCTCTCCTTGCCCCTGTCCCTGGTGCAGGCTCCCCTCATTCTTCCGGACTACAGCAATAGCTTTGCATGCAGCAGCCACCCCATCCCTGCAAGCTGTTCTGCACAGTAGGGCTAGAGTCACCTATCAAAAAAAACAACAACAACAGGGGCGCTGGGTGGCTCAGTTGGGTAAGTGTCCGACTCTTGGTTTTAGCTCAGGTCATGATCATCGGGGAGTCTGCTTCCCTTTGGCCCCCACCCGCCTGCCGCTCCTACTCTCTCTCTCTAATAAATAAAATCTTTAAAAACAAACAAACAAAAAACAGTTTCCCACTGTTCTCAGGATAAAACCCAAAATCTCTACCATAGGCAAATGCCCTGGCCTTGCCCAACTCCCCCACATCAGTTTACATCAGACTTTGACTTTCTTTCTGCTCTCAGCCTCTCTCAGCCTTCTTTCAGTCTCTTAAATTCCACCAGTGGCCTCCATAGGGCCTCAGGACCTTTCCACAGGCTGTTTTATCAACCTGGAGTGTTCTTTCTCCTGCCTCATCCCTCAAACCTCTGCTTAAATGGGAGCCTTGGCTGACCACCTATCTTGGGCAGGGTGCCTGTTCGACCTCACATAGCACATGGATTTTCACACATGGGCCTCAACACGCTTATTACATCATCTTTCCTGATGAACATCATATTTCTTCTCAAACTGTAGGTTGCCCTAGAGCTGTTTTGATCATTGCTATATCCCCAGAAACTAGCACAGGTGTACTATACTGAAGTTCACAGGGCTAAAGACCCCAGCATTGGAGGTTTAAGAAAACCATTTCCAGGGCGCCTGGGTGGCTCAGTTGGTTAAGCGACTGCCTTCGGCTCAGGTCATGATCCTGGAGCCCCGGGATCGAGTCCCGCATCGGGCTGCCTGCTCGGCGGGGAGTCTGCTTCTCCCTCTGACTCTCCTCCCTCTCATGCTCTCTGTCTCTCATTCTCTCTCAAATAAATAAATAAAATCTTAAAAAAAAAAAAAGAAAGAAAACCACTTTCCTGGGACATCTGGCTGGCTCAGTTGGTAGAACATGTCACTCTTGATCTGGGGGCTGTAAGTTCAAGCCCCATGTTGGGTGTAGAGATTACTTAAAAAAAATAAAAATCTAAAAAGAAAAAAGAAAAGAAAACCATTTTCCTAAAGAGAAAAGTAACAGGGTTAATATTAAAAAACAAAAACAGGGGTGCCTAGGTGGCTCAGTTGGTTCAGTGTCTGCCTTCCGCTCAGGTCATGATCCCGGGAGATCCCGGAGACCCAGGATTGAGTCCCACATGGGCTCTCTGCTCAGCACGGGAGCCTGCTTCTCCCTCTCCCTCTCCCCCTGCTCCTGTGCTCTCTCTCTCTCTCTCTCTCTCACTCTCTCAAATAAATAAATACATAAACAAGCAAACAAATAAATCTTAAAACAAAAACTGACTTTAGACAGCCACCAGCATCATAATAATAGTTAACAGAGGAGGCGCCTGAGTGGCTCAGTCAGTTAAGCACCTGACTCTTGATTACTGCTCAGGTCATGATCTTGGGGTCCTGAGATCAGCCCCACTTCTGGCTCTGCGCTGGTCATAGAGCCTGCTTGAGATTCTCCCTCTCCCTCTGCCCCTCTCCCCACTCGTGCTTGCGCGCGCTCTCAAAAAAAAATGTTTTTTAATTGTTAACAGAGACTGAGTCCCCAGTGTGGGGTACACTGTGTTTACATTAGCTAGCTCATTTATTCCCCCCAAAAGCCAGACAAGGTAGATACTAATTATTAGCATACCCTATTAAACATCAGAAACCCAACGCTCTGGGAATTAGGTTTACTGTGCAAGAAAAGCTGTCCTACAGGAGCTATGTTACTAGAAATGGGATCGAGGACTTGAGGTTTCTAGCCAGCCCTGCTTCTGGCCCCGCCCCTGTCCCCGCCCCCGCGGCCCACACGTCCCGCCCTGCTCCGCCCCGCCCCCACCCCGTCTTCGCGGGGCTCCCCGCCCCTAACACGCCCCTGACTCGCCCCCTGCCCAGCCCCAGCGCGGCCCTAGTGCGGGCCGCCCCTTGGCCGCGGGGAGCGGCGCCTGCAGTGCCAGCCGTGGCCGCCGAGGGGCAGCCGCGCAGCTCGGGCCCGACCGCTCTGGGCCGCGCTCCTCACTCGTCCTCCGACTCGGCTCCGGCTGCGAGCGGTAGCCCTGCCCGCGCCCAGCGCCAAGCCGCCGGGCTCCCCGCGCCCGACCCAGCAGCTCGGCTCCCCGGGGCCGGACTGAGGCCGCAAGCAGCGCCGCGGGGTGTGGGGCGGACCCAGGAGATGAAATGACAACGTCAACCCTCCAGGTACCTCGGCGCGGCCGGTCTCGGCTTCCGGAGGCCGGAGGAGGCGCGGCGGGGCCTGCGAGCCAGCGGTCGGGCGGGCGGTCGGCTCGGTACCCCGGCCCCGCGGCCCTCGCCCCGCCGCCTCCGCCCGTTTCTGTTTTCACGCGCCCGGAGCCAGGGGCTGTCTCCAGAACTCCCGCTCCCCTGCCGCCCCCACCCCACCCCCCGCCCGGGCCAGGCCGAGCCCCGAGGCCGCTACGTGCAGCCGGCGGCGCCCCGGTACCGCCGCGGGGATCAGCCTCCTGCGGACCGCACCGGCGCCGCCCGGGAAGCTCGGCCCCGCAGTCGGGCCGCTTGCCCTCCCTCCTCCTCCTGCTTCCCTTAGGACGAGTCCCCGCTCCTTCTCCAGGCTCGGATTTCCTCCTGTCGGCCAGCGACCCTTCATTCATTCCCTAGGTCTTGCCTGGTGGTGCTGGGGTGGCGCCACCTGGATGCATGACTGACCCATCCTCCAGGTGCTGCCGGTGCTGCTGGGCCGGCGGGGAGAAACATGCCCAGGCCTCGGACCTGGGCTTCAGTCGTGGCTCTACCGCTCACCCGCGTGTGACCTTGGGCTAGTTACTTGATCTTGGATTTGGGGGTTTCCTGTCAGTGAATTGGGGTAATACCCTGTAGGGTCGTTGTGACAGTGGCTCTGGATTGAGTAATTCAGGTGAAGCCTTCTTAACACAGTGTCCGCCACATAGTAAGTGCTCAAAACAAAGCCTGTGAAGGAGCTAGGCAAGACTTCATGGAAGAAGGGGCATTTGGCTGGATCCGGAAAGGGTGGGTAGCATTCAGATGTCCGAAGGTGGAGGAAAAAGTGGGAACAGAGGCATGGAATAAACTGGGCCACTTGGCCAAGAATTAACTAGAGTCCAAAGCCAGACCCCCACCATCCACCAGCAGAAGCTCGGATTTGTTAGAACAGGGGTTTGTAAACTTCGCCTGCATATCCCCCCTGCCCAGACGGTTTTTGTCTGTGCGTTAAGAATGTTTTTACATTTCTATTAAAGTTTTATTAAGGGGCACCTGCGTGGCTTAGTCAGTTAGGCGTCCAGCTCTTGATTTCGGCCCAGGTCATGATCTCAGGGTCCTGAGATGGCAGCCCTGCATCTGCTCTGTGCTCATCAGGGGGTCTACTTGAAGATTCTCTGCCTCTGCCCTTCCCCCTGCTCAGGCTCTCTTTCTCTCAAATAAATAAATCTTAAAAAGAAAAGCTTTATTAAGATATAACTCACCAGAAAATTCGCACATTTAAAGTATACAATTCAGTGGCTTTTAGTATATTCAGAGTCGTGCAACCATCACCACACTTTTAGAACATTTTCATCACCCCAAAAAGAAACTCCACACCCTTTACCGTTAACCCCACAAATCCTGTATATCTCCCAGCCCTGGGCAAACACTCAGCTAATTTCTGTCCTATGGATTTGCCTATTCTGGGCACTTTATGTATTTGTTCATTTATTAAAAGATTATTTATTTTAGAGGGGGGAGGGGCTGAGGGAGAGAAAAACTTAAAGCAGGCTCCTGGCTAATCACAGAGCCCACACGGGGCTCGATCCCATGACCCCAAGATCACCAAACGAGCAGAAACCAAGAGTCAGATGCTCAGTCAACTGTGCCACCCAGGCGCCCCTATTTTTGGCATTTTATATAACTGGAATCATACAATATGTGGTCCTTTGTGACTGGCTTCTCTCACTTAACATAATGTAGGTTTTTATGTTTTTAAAAGGCTGGGAAAGATATCTCATGACACGTGAAAATTATGAAATTCAAATTTCAGTGTAAAGTTTTATTGGAACACATTCTTGCTCCTTCATTTACGTATTCTCTATGGCTGCTTTTGGGCTACAAAGGCAGAGTTTGTATGGCCAGGAAAGTCTAACCTATTTACCATCTGGTTCTTTACAGTTTGCCAGCTCCTCTGTTAGCACATCTTCCTTAAACTTGTCCTTCATCCTCATCCTTGCCATATGTGTTACTAGAGATGCGGCAGGCTGGCAGTTTTATTTATCACCTCACCCTTGTGTTATGCAAAACTATTCTTCAAATTGCAACTGAGGCCTCTTGCCTTTGAAACATTGTATGCAGTTGCCAAAAAGATCTAATGTGCTCTTAGGTGCGTTAATTAATAAAGTATCTCGGAGGGAGGTGCAGAGCATCCCTCGAGTATTGTTCTGAGCCCTGCCTTTCCAAAGGACAGACCCAAGCAAGAAGGCATATAGAGTGAAAAAGTCCAAGGAACTGGGCATGTTTGTTCTGGAGAAGAGAAGCCATCAGGGACAGGAGAATTCATTTCATTGTCTCATCAGAAGAGCAGGTCGTTGGGGAAGAGTAGACCTGTGAAGCTTGTGTTTAAGCTAATCATTCGAGAAGGTTCTGGGCTCCTGGCCATTTTCTATTTGTAGGTAATGGAGGTAGCTGAGCTTGAAAATAGTAGCCAACACTCTCCGCCTTTCCTCATCTAGGCAACCTGGTGGGTTCATTTATCATCAACCTGGCCTAACCTGCTTCAGTCTGTTCATTTTGTAGAGCTAGCTGTGTCTTTCTGAGATTTCTTACTTTCAGATGAGGAAGGGCTGCACAAATGCCTGAGCCCTGCCAAGAGCTGGTCAGGAGGTTTATTGTTTGCTGTGGACGGAACTGTGTGTGTACAGTGGGATCTGCCAGCCTGGTATCTAGTGCCGATCAGCTTGAGGAGGATAATTCTGGTAGCGCTTCCTGGGTTGGTGAAGCCGTGGTTTCTAAAACTGGATATGTAGGTGTGGGGCAGCTGCCTGAAAGATCCAGCCTGCTTTGAGTTCGGTCTAGAGCACAGGCCTACAGGATTTGTGAGATTCACAAAGATACTCTCACGGAGTTCTTAGAAGATGCCAGAGGACCATTCCCCTCAGTTGGCAGCACATACATGTCTTTGGAGTAAGCCAGCCCTTTTCTTGCTTTTTTCTTTTTTTTAAAGATTTATTTATTTTAGCGTGTGCATATGCCAGTGGGGGAGGGGCAGAGGGAGAGAATCTTCAGGCAGACTCGCTGCTGAGTGCGGAGCCCGATGCAGGGCTGGATCTCTTGACCCTGAGATCGTGACCTGAGCCAAAACCAAGAGTCGGACACTTAACTGACTGAGCCACCCAGGCGTGCCAGCAAGCACTTTCCTTACTAGAGCTACTGGTATACTGACCCATGTGTCTAAGCATCCCTTCCCTAAGTAGCTCAATTTAGGAAAACCATCTTCTTTTTTCCCCACAGAGAAGCAGGCTGGGCCGGTAGGAGGAAATAGAGGTCCCTTTGACCAGTCTGGTAGAACCCAGGGCTGGCTCTTCTCTGGCCTTCGAGGTCAAGTGCGGTTCCTGGCCTTCATGCTGAGCCGCACAGCAATCAGTTGTGGTGTTTCCCGTTCCAGGTGCTGGGTCCAGGTCCACGCAAGGAATAGAAAGTGGATTCTCCCCTTGAGCCCTAACCTGAGATATTTGGTCAGGTTTCCGCTTACTGAAATCCAGAGTGAAATGGAGAAGGAGGTTGTTTTCACCCGTATGAGTGTATTGTGAAGAGGGATGGCTGTCTTTTACGGCTTCCTTTCAAGGCCTTTCTAGTTGATGTTGGAAAAACAGGCCGACATAATGGTGTGTGACTAACAGATCCGCAGGATTCCTGCTGCCCTGGGACCCCAAGGGCTTTTTGGGTCTCTTGGGAAGCACTGAGGTATTTGCTTCGCATTTCCAGAAAGCCATTGATCTGGTGACGAAAGCCACGGAGGAGGATAAAGCCAAGAATTACGAGGAGGCACTCCGGCTCTACCAGCATGCTGTGGAGTATTTCCTACATGCTATCAAATGTGAGTCCCGCGCAGGGCCCTCCCGGGCTGCAGAGCCCCTGGAGAGCAGGGCGCGCACACCCTCTCCAATTCCCCTTTTGCAGATGAGGCACACAGCGAAAAGGCCAAGGAGAGCATTCGAGCCAAGTGCATGCAGTACCTAGACCGGGCGGAGAAGCTGAAGGATTACTTACGAAGCAAAGAGAAGCATGGCAAGAAGCCAGTCAAAGAAAATCAGAGTGAGAGCAAGGGGTGAGTACAGAGGAGTGCAGGAGCCGGCCGGGACCAGAGACCCCATGAGCGTGTGTCCTTTTCCTGGTGCTGTCATTCCTGGTACTAATGCTGCCTTCCTTCGGGGGGCTGCCACTCACATGCTAGCGCCCCGAGCTGCTCGCCCCGGGCACCGGGCACAGTACTGCCTTGGACGGTGCCGCGTTGGATCCGCACAGAAAAGCTGCGAGTGAAATGCGAGCCAGCAGGGAGGTTACAAGCCTGGGATTCCGCAGTCAGGCTCTCAGGGTAGATCCCGGCGCCACCACTTCCTGGCCGGGTGACCATGGACACGTGCCATGAACCCCTGTGCTTCCAGGCTCCTCATCTGTAGAAGAAGGATAACGCCCCCTCCCGCCCAGCGTTGCCCTAAGGAGCGGGTGAGATGATGCGGGTAAAGCCCCGAGAGTAAAGTGGGGCACGCAGGAAGGATGGAGTCAGCTGCTCTTATGCTCGGAGCTACTCTCTTCATCTGACAGAGGAGGCAGCAGACTCAAGTTCAGATGTGGCCCAGGTCATGGAGCTGGCACTGGATGGAGACTGGACCCACATGCAGGGCCTCTGTGTCCCCCTCCAAAGTCAAAGATTTTATTTATTTGAAAGAGAGACACAGCGAGAGAGGGAACACAAGCAGGGGGAGTGGGAGAGTGAGAAGCAGGCTTCCCACGGAGCAGGGAGCCCGATGTGGGACTCGATCCCAGGACCCTGGGATCATGACCTGAGCCAAAGGCAGACACTTAACGACTGAGCCACCCAGGTGCCCCCAGGTCCCCCTCTTTAAACGTCACTCTCCTCCGAGTCACAGCCACCTGCTGTCTGGTTGTGAATCTGTGTGAAAGGCCAGCGACAGCTCCGGTTGCCCATCCAGCTGCTCCTGAAGTCCCCCCAAAGCACATGTCCCTCACCAGCCTTCTGGGGACGCACATGTCTCTGTTCTTACTCCCTAAATGAAGAAACAAGGATGGGTTCCGAGAGTGTTTCCTGGAGGACGTGGAGGGGAGTGTCGCTAACAGGTGGTCTGAGCATGTTTGAGGCCCCTGCTGGTGGGTCTGTCACCACTGTTGAGCAGGGCAGGCGGCTCACGACCGAGAGCCTGGCCTCGCTCTCAGAGCCTCTTTGCCGACTGCCTCTTGCTTTAGTCTGTCGTCTTCTGTCTCCTTTCCCAGCAGTGATAGTGACAGTGAAGGGGATAATCCCGAGAAAAAGAAATTGCAAGAACAACTGATGGGTAAGAGGCCCGCGGCCCCGTGGCAGTGGGAGCGGGATGTGGCGAGGGCCCCTGGAGGGTCGGCTCAGACTCATCAGTCGGACTCCAGGTGGAAGGCTCACCTTGCCTCTTGCAGGTGCTGTTGTGATGGAGAAGCCCAACATTCGGTGGAGTGATGTGGCTGGGCTGGAGGGGGCCAAGGAGGCCCTCAAAGAAGCTGTCATTTTGCCAATTAAATTCCCACACTTGTTCACAGGTAAGAGTTGAGCTACTTTAGGCCCAGATGGAAAAAGAGCAGGCTTTTCAGGAAGCCAGCCCAGGGCTCCCACTCTGAAGGTGTCCAGGAGCAGGTGACCACTCAGCTCTATGGGCCCTCTGGTGGTGAGGGCCCAACCTTCCCTCTCAGGGCTCTCAGTCAAGAGAGGCCCCAGGGTCTACCCATCACAACCATCTTGGCTCCTCTCTGGTGTCAGAAACACCTTTGCGACTAGAACTTTGACTTGACCATCCCGGTGGGTGAGTAGGGTCAGGAACCAGTGCCAGCCAGTGTCACTTTGCAAGGTTTTGGGGGTCATGAGCCAGGGCTAGGAGCAGGCTCTAAGCAGGTAATTCAGGTCCCTTTATTCCTTTGCTTCTAGAACCAGTTGTCTTGTAGAACTTTGCTCTTCTGTCCGTACTTACAGTAACTAAGTCCCCTCTGCTTTTTTCTGTTCCCTTTCCCCAGGCAGGAGGAAGCTCACCTCAGTTTATTCTTTGTTGTAGGCAAGCGTACACCTTGGCGAGGGATACTGCTCTTTGGACCCCCTGGCACAGGGAAATCCTACCTGGCCAAAGCGGTGGCCACAGAGGCCAAAAACTCCACCTTCTTCTCTGTGTCCTCCTCAGACTTGATGTCTAAGTGGTTGGGGGAGAGTGAGAAGTAAGTCAGCTGCCAGGCCTGCTTCCCTGCCCATGAGCCACAGCCCAGAGGAGCCGTTGGTGGGCGTCAGGGAGAAGTAGCCAGCGGAGGGGAATTCTGCTAGTTTGTTGGGTGGGACCGTGTCCTGACAGAGCCTGCTGAGACTGAATGGGCACTCGGTTGGGGGAGAGGAGCCCTCATGAACGGAAGGCAAAGGCACTCACAATCTTCGGGTATCGGGTGGGTGTCCTCTGTTGGGGACTTCACGTAGTTCAGGCATTTTCCACACCGACTCCCGTTGTGCAGAGGATGACACTGAGGCTAGGTGGAGGGGAAGGGACTTGTCCTAAATCCAGAGCTAATGAGCTGGGCTGTCACTGAGGCTGGCTGTTCCTCATGGTACCGTGCTGCCAGCGGATTTGTGATGGCCACTGTCTGAAATCCAGGCCTGACTGGAGGCTTGACCTGCCTGTGGGAAGGGAGAGAGAAACAGGGACTGGGCCCCTGGCTGGGCTGGGTGTGGGTGTCCTGATCCCAGCCCCACTTGTCACCTTCACAGGCTCGTCAAGAACCTGTTTGAGCTGGCCAGGCAGCACAAGCCCTCCATCATCTTCATCGATGAGGTGGATTCCCTCTGCGGGTCCCGCAATGAAAATGAGAGCGAGGCTGCCCGAAGGATCAAAACGGAGTTCTTGGTCCAGATGCAGGGTGCGTGCCAGTGCTGGGTGCCCGCCCTGGTTCTCGGTCCGCCTGCAGCCAGCGCAGCGCTTCGTTGTTTAGCTGCGGCTGGGTTCGATGATCCTTAGGATGGAGAGAAAATGTCAGTGCAGCCGTTCTCCGCTCCCTCTCCACAGGCCTGCAGAGAGGTTATCCCGGCCTTTGCCCACGAGCCCTCTGCCCTTCCCGAGGCCAGCAGGGCTTCAGAGAAGGCTCTTGGCCCAGCAGAGCCGGTTGGGGCCCTGCTGGTGGGGGCACGGGGCTGGCCCCAGAGCAGAACACACAAAGGCCCTGAGGTACCTCCCCCAGATGCTCCCTGATCCTTGCAGGTGTTCTCACTCAGCGTCTGTGTGTCCCTTTCTCCACAGGGGTGGGGAATAACAACGATGGGACTCTGGTTCTTGGTGCCACCAATATCCCCTGGGTGTTGGATTCAGCCATTAGAAGGAGGTGAGTCTTCCCAGTAGGAGCCAGGGGCTGAGGCCTTTCTCCAGCTGTAGTCCGCCTGCTGCTGGCAGCCGTGGGTGCAGCCTGGCCCCGTTTGCCCAAGGCCTCTTCATGTCTGCAGGCTGAGCAGAGTCCTCAGTGCAGCCAGCTTCTGGAGGGCCCCAGCGGCCCTCTCCACAAAGACTCTTAGGCCATCTCTTCTCAAGACCTGCCATGTGCTTGGCTCTCCAGGTTTGAAAAGCGGATTTACATTCCGCTGCCTGAGGAGGCTGCCCGTGCCCAGATGTTCCGGTTGCATCTGGGGAGCACTCCCCACAACCTCACGGATGCCAACATCCACGAGCTGGCCCGGAAGACAGAAGGCTACTCAGGTGCTGACATCAGCATCATTGTGCGGGACTCCCTCATGCAGCCTGTCAGAAAAGTTCATTCAGCAACACACTTCAAAAAGGTGAGTGGAGGGGCGCCTGGGTGGCTCAGTTCGTGGAGCATCTGACTCTTGATCTCAGCTCAGGTCTTGATCTGATCAGGGTTGTGAGTTCAAGCCCCACGTTGGGCTCCAAGCCTGGTGTAGAGCCTACTTAAAAAAAAAAAAAAAAAAGGTAAGTGGAGCCAGCAGGGAGTTGCTTAGAAAGTGTTACAGGAGTGGGGATATCAGCTTTCTTTGCCAGTTCCTTGGCTGCTCCGATGACATAGCTTCAGTCTCCTGGAGAACCAAGGCCAAGTATAAAGTGAGCCCTCTGGCTGTAGGGGCTGGGGTTACACCGCTCTCTCTTTCCCTATAGCTCTTCTTGCTCCAGTGTGACCATCTCAGATTGTGTGAAGCCAGAGGACATGGCACCATGCCAGTCACCTCTGCCACCTCCACAGTCAGTGCTCTGCTGTGTGTGGGGACCCCACTTGGTGTCTGAAGAATCGGCGGGTACAAAATCACCTGCTCTAAGGAGGAACTCCTCTTACACGGCATATCTCTATTGAGTGTCTGCTGGGGGTCCTGCTATGCTTCTGATGCTGTTCTAGGACCTGGGGAGACACGTGTGACCACAGCAGACAAGTCCCTACCCTATCGGACCCTCTTCACTAATTGAGATACTCATTTCTTAGAGGGTGATGAGAGGGAAGGTAGAGCAGGGGACGGAGTCTGGTGTTTCTGAAGTTTGGAGTTGGGTGGGCAGCTTGTATTATAAAAAAAAGATTTATTTATTTGAGAGAGAGAGAGAGGGTGAGCTGGGGTGGGATGGGGAAGAGGGGCAGAGGGAGAGGGAGAGAATCCCAAGGGACTCTGCTCCATCTCACAACCCTGAGATCATGACCTGAGCCGAAATCAAGAGTCGGACACTTAACTGATCGTGCCAACCAGGCGCGCCTGGGCAAGTTGTATTCTTAAAGGATAGGCCACCCAGGTGACATTGGAGTCAAGAGTTGAAGGAGGTGAGGGAATTAGCCTTGGGGATATTTGGGGGGATGTTGCCAATAAAGCAGACTGTGGTTAGAAAAACATTTTTGATGTCACTGCATTTGTGGTGAGATTTGATGGAGTTAATGAGGAAGAGGAAGATACCAAGACACTTTGGGCCACAAATTGAGATTCTGGAGAATAGTGCCTGGAATATCATGCTAATCACAAATCTCTGAAATCCTATGTTGAGCTACTTCGACTGCCAGCCTGAGAGTTCTGAAGGAGTCATCCTCTTCTCAGACTGATGACCTAGAAGGCCAGGCATGCGTACATCCTCTACCACCACCTTCTCTTCAGGACTCAGAAATCTGAGGCATCCTGTCCCTCCCCCAAGCACTGAGTTGCAACCCCTGCAGCCCAACTCCTATTTGATTTCAGGTCTGTGGCCCTTCCCGCACCAACCCTAGCGTTATGATCGATGACCTCCTGACCCCATGCTCACCAGGGGACCCAGGGGCCATGGAGATGACTTGGATGGATGTCCCTGGTGACAAACTCTTAGAGCCTGTGGTTTGCATGGTAAGTGGCCGGCTGGGAGAGGGACTGCACAGAGCCCAGAAAACTGGGGTCATGGATCTGAAAATACAGATAGGCTTCTCCCCTTCTCTGTCCTGGGCTGTCGTGGCTCTTCTGAAACCGAGAATGGCCTTTGGGGTGCTGGGCAGTTGGGGCTCCTGCTGTTACAGACTCAGCGGGGGCCCAAGACGGAGGCCATAGCATGAGCATTTTATTTTCTTCAAGAATAAAGGCCCGCTGGCGTGACGACATCATTCCACGGCTTTGGCTTGTTCTGTGCCCAGAAGGAGGCAGCAAGCATCTGTCGGCAGTTTGCTCTGATGCCGCGCACGGGCAGCCTCACGGCACTAGTCTTGCCCTCTCCTCGTCCTGGTCTTCCCGACGCCTTGCCTGTCGTGTGGGGCAGGTGTCTGCCAGCGTGGCTGGGGTGGCGGGTGTGCGCTCAGAGCGAGCTTCTCCCGGGAGTTAAGACGTGAGGGGAGCTTGGATTCTCTCAGACGAGAAATATGCCCGTTTGGAAACGACATGAGCCGCCCCAGGAGGGAAGAGCGGTCCTGTCATGGGAGACATTCAGGCAGGCACCAGGCAACCAGAGGGAGCTTTGCTTTTGGGGCTGGGAGTGACCGGGGACACTGGCCTCTTCCTACTGGACCCCCTGGGTCTGCGACACGGGGAGCCCGAGGACCTGGGGCCTGGCTCCTCCTCAGCTTCGTGCCCTTGTCTTTGCAGTCGGACATGCTCCGGTCTCTGGCCACCACTCGGCCCACCGTGAATGCAGACGACCTCCTGAAAGTGAAGAAATTCTCAGAGGACTTTGGACAGGAGAGTTAAAAATTTCTTCACTTGGTGACGGTGAAGGTGGGAGGTTGATTGGGGTAATAAATCCATGGCACTCCCCAAGTCAGTGGCCAGACAGCGCTCCAGGGCTCGTCTTCACGTCACTGCAGCGGCCCCTCTGCTGTCTGGCCGCCGGCCAGGGAGCAGGCAGGAAGGGCCTCCCTGGCCACAGAGACACAAGCACATTCAGCACTGGGTGGAGTACTGGTCCTTCCTCCTTCCTCTCCTCCTCCTCCTCTTCTTCTGGATGCTCACCAACTCCTTGTCCTGCCTCTCTGTGGTTTTTGTTTTTTTTAAACCTTTCTTTGTTCCCCTAAATTAATGCTGCTTGGATTTTTGTCTTGTTTATAAATAAAGTTCAGATCTCCCAGAAGCATCAAGGAGTGGGAGCAGCCCGTACTGTGGGGTTGCCGCAGACCTTCAGGATGGCCTGCAGCTCCCTTCGCCTGTCCCTTCTAACCCGAATTTTACTCCTTGTGAACACAATGGCTGATGCCCTGGGGTGCCAGCCCAAGCCCTGCCTGTGAAGGCCAAGAGTAAAACCAAGCCATTCCCACCCTCCTAGGTCAGCATCCCGGGCCGTATGTGTCCCCTGCAGGAGGAGAGGGTGGTTTTTGTGAGCGCAAAGCTCTAGCTCAGAAGGAGTGAAGGTAGTCAGGTGGGTTTTACTGCTGCATTTTCTTCCCTCTCAGTGTGGGAACACTGAACCCCGCCAATGCCCCTGGCTCCCTGCCCTGGAAATGGGCTAATAAATCCTTTTCCCTCTTGAGCCACCTGAGTGATCTCATCTTTGATTCTTATCCGGGCTCCTTGAAGGCCATGCTTGCTTCCATTAGAAAGACCCCTTGGTTTTCTCTCCGCACTCTTCTCTTCATCAGAGGAGGGTATTGTCACCTGCCGCAGTTCCCATGCCTGTTCTCCAGTCAGGCTGGCCAGACACCCCCCCACCCCCACCCCGGGGCCTTGCACATGTGGCACCTGGACAGTTCCTCCTGCAGATTGGGAGGCCTGTGGCCCAGACATGGCCTGCAGCTGGGTTTGGTTTGGTCTGCTGCCAACATTGAAAAATCAAGAGTTGATGTGAAAATGCAGATTTCTGGCTTCTGGGAGATTAGGCAATGCCGGGCCTGCGTCCCCATGAGGCAGCCTGTCGGCCACAGCCAGAGGGGCTGCCCTGCTCAGAAGCAGAACACTCTCTCCAGCTCACCCATCTCCACATGCACTGCTTCAGTCCTCCAGGTTGCCTGCCTAGCCCCTGTGGCCATTTGAATTTGTGACTCCTGATCTCGAGACCCCCTCCCCGCCCCCCTCAAAGGCTCTAGAGCTGGCAGCCCTAGAAATGCTGAGTAGGAGGCTGTGCTGCTTGACTGTGTGCATACGAATACACAAAAGGCCTGCCATCGGGCTGGTCTACTTCCCCTCCCCCTCCAGAAGCTGTGATTATTGCTCCAGGTCTTACTAAAACCCAGATTGTCCAGAACTGATGATGTGGCCAACTCTTAGATCACAGTAGCCTTGCACCATGGTGGTCTTTGATTTGGTTAGGAACGGCTGAATTGAGCCAACTTTTGTTGGGTTCCTTGAAGGCTTGGGCCCAGGTGCTCCTGTCCAGTGTGGGTACGTTCGCCCTGCCTCAATTACCAGGTGCCTCAGCAGGCCTGACCAGGTGACGCCTTGGCAGCAACCGTGGCTGGCATCTTTGTCACTCAGGAGTTCCCATGGCTCTCGCTTTAGTTAGGTGCCCTCAGCCACCAGTTACTGTTGGTGAACGCTGGACTAGAAGCCAGCACAGGACACAGGACACTGCCCCACTCTTTCATTTTAGCTACTTGTGTTTTCTTACTCTACCTCCAGTCACCTTTACTTGAATCACAAGGTCCTTGCTTGCTTTGTTTTTAAAATCTTCCTTTCTACTGCTCAGACACCTTGGCAAGTCACAGGGGTTAATAGAAACCAGGGCTGCTGTGGTTCATCTTCATAGCTCTGGTCACGGCTGTCACAGATGCCATGCTTCTCCATTCCTCTCTCCACCATCAGTGACAGGATGCAGGCTGATGAATGTCCTACTCACATGTGAGGCCAAAGTCACCTCAGACTGATGGCATGCCCTCACCATCCATGTTATACATGGCTTACAGGTGCAGAGGTATTTCCTCCCCTAAATGCTAACTCTGAAATTCACTCTTCCCTACTTGGGAATTCTGGCTTAAACCTTCTGTCTACCTTGGCTTTGACTTCCGTAGTTGACTTCTAAAACTTTCCTTAGCTCGAGATGCTGATCTGTATGTGTGGTTATTGTGCCTGATACATCTCCCTGAGGTGGGTGAGATTTTATGAGAAATGCAGATTTGCTGCTTTGGGCTGTAGTAGCTAGTTGCACAAATCCTCCTTGGTGGATTTGGTTAGAGTAGTAAATCTCATGTTGTCAGTAATAGAGAGTTTCAGGCTTTCTCCAAGGTCCACTCTGAGCAACCACATACTCGGGTCCCCAGGTCAGGAAGCTGCAGGCAAATTTTACTGATCCTCATTACAAAGGCATCAGTAAGGACTGTTAACCTCAGAGCACTGTAAGGAAGCTTCTGAGTGTTCTGAAGCCACCCTGCAGGAGCTTCTGAACATTGTCCAAGGGAAAGGAGGGTCACTAAATCCTCATTTTCCTAAGGATCCATGTTTATAGTATAAATGAGAGTTTGCTACAGACTTTCCCAGTGGCGGAGTATCTAACCTCACCTTGGAGCAATGCCGGCTCTTACTCCCTTCCAAAGTTTAATGCAGAGAGCGCCAGTTCCCTTTTGCTTGACCTCTTAGGCCCCCAGAGGGTGGCCTGTTTAGAGAAAGCCATACTGGGTTCGTTTAGTTAACTACTGTTTAAAACAAGTTTTTTCTAAACAACTTACTGGACTTACTACATGGGTACTAGGATTTTGAGAACTCTGGTAAGAGTACCCATGTTGCAAAACTCAACATAGAAATGAGGCAAGACCAGTATCTAGAGAAACAAGTTCCTTCACCTCTTGCAAAGCTCTGACAGTGTCTTAAGGCTAATCATTGGTCAGGGTGATGCTAATTTAGTTTTCCAAAATAAGTGTGGTGACCAGGAAGCACAAGTTTTGCTTTCTTTTCTAATTGTGACAGGAAGAGGTTCATTGCTTCGTCAACTATCATCCCTCCCCTAGCCCTGATCCATGAGCTCCACAAAAAGAATGAGCCAAATAGCAGCTGCCCAAGAAATCTTAGCAGGAAAATCATCCCCAAATCTGTTAAAGGCAGAAGGTGGAGACTAAAACTTGTGAACCTGGTAAAATGTGTGGGTACTCATTTATGTTAACACTGTCATTAAACACTTCATGAACTGTGGCCATTCTGTTCTGTTTTACTTACACAAGCAAACTGTTGTCCAAGGCAAAGGACTCTGCAGGTAAGACACACACAAGCCCTTTGTAAAAATAAGAACTCAGTGAAGATGGTCAACCGCAGTCTTAACCTGCGTTTTTAAACATAGCTTTCAGATATTTGGGGATTATATCATTATCAAATCTTGGCTTTGGGATAGATCATAAAGGTCTATGAAATCATGTCTACTAGGAGTGGTTATTTGCCCCACTTTTTTTTTTTTTTTTTAAGATTTTATTTATTTGAGAGAGAGAATGAGAGAGAGCACATGAGAGGGGGAGGGTCCGAGGGAGAAGCAGACTCCCTGCCGAGCAGGGAGCCCGATGCGGGACTCGATCCAGGGACTCCAGGATCATGACCTGAGCAGAAGGCAGTTGCTTAACCAACTGAGCCACCCAGGTGCCCTATTTGCCCCACTTTTTACCACACAAAATCATCAGGAAATGTCTACTCTTTGGGGGAGTTCACTTTCTTTTCACGTTGAAGGCAGTATTTTGTCCATGGATGATTTCAGGGCAAACATTTTTTATATATTCCTCCAACCTGGTTTGGCAATTCTGTTTTCTGTCAGAGCCAACCCAATATCAAGTTGATAACAGGCAAGCCATGCCCAGCTCAAATCCCAAGTGTTTGTGTTTTCATTTCCAGAATCCTCAGATGCAGCAGGAAAATTTTAATCATTCACCTCCATCCAGTAGATGTTTGTAAACGTCTTGCTGTCCATTTTGTCAATGAACAGGCAGCCCTGCAAGTGGTCCATCTCGTGCTGGATGATACGGGCTGCCCATCCGCTTGCCTGCCACACCACCTGCTCCCCTTTGGGGTCCAGCCCTGCAAAGTAAGTTACAGCCTGGGTAAGGATATGCTTAACCGCATCATTTTTAATCTCCTTACCTTTTCCCTGCCTCTGGCTGTTCCTGTTGACAAGAGGCAACATCAGAAGGGAATGCAGACAGCAGCCCCTATTCTTCCCAGAAAAGATGCCTCAACTCTACACATTACCAAGTATTCAGTGTGGTTCTAATGCTATTAGGTTGCTGGACTTACTATGGGGCTGAGATGAGAAATGATCTTCCTAAGGTGCTTCATTTCTGAACATTTCCTCCCATTTCTGATATACTACCGATTTATTTCAATTCCTAAAAGTCTTTCAAAAATAAAGGGGTACCATTTACTTTCTGACCTGGACCAAGTGGCCTACTCAAGAGGAACAATCATTCCAACTCCGGCAACAAATCAGATTCCGCAAAACGTCCTGTGGCTTATCACCCGGGGCTGGGCAAAGCTGGGTGCCACTTCTCCCATTCCACCACGATGGCTCCAACTGGGTAGAGTGTATTTGTGCGGGACAGCGAGCGAGAGGGCACAGAGCAGAGGACTTGGAGTGCGGCAACATCTGAACTAGGCCGCGTTCCCAGCCCAAACCACGCCCCCGAGGAGCTGGCTCTGCTGTCACACTGGCCGCCATTCCCCATCCCTATCGGTCAGTCTTGAATCACGTCCACTCCAGGGTTCTGCCGGGAGGCTTCGCTGAGCCTACACTTTCACAAGTCTGCGCTTTACTGGAGCTTTGCGAAAACTGTTTCATGGGATCCGAGGTCGCCGCCTCCTTAGGCGGGGGTAAGAGACGCACGCGTTTATCCAACCGCCCCAAAGCCACCGACCCCGCCCGGCCCCTCCGCACCTGAGATCTGCACGGCCTGGAAGCGGGGCACGCAGGCCAGGAAGCCGGCGACGCTCTCGCAGCCCTCAGGGAAGGTGACCAGGCGGCTGTCCAGCACCCGCAGGCGGGGGTTCACGAACACGCGCAGGGGGAAGGGCTCCATCTGGCGGGCCTCGCGCAGGGGCGGCGCGCAGGCGCGGAAGAACGCCTCGGGGAACTCTAAGGCCAGCACCTGCAGCGGCACCCCGAGTTGCGGAGCGCTCAGGCCCACGCAGCGTCGGCGCCGCATCACCTGCACCAACCTCTGCACCAGCATCTGCAGTTCGGGCCCCGCCAGCTGCGCCGGGTCCACAGGGGCCGCCACGGCCCGCAGCGCCGGGTCCCCGACCTGGCACACGCGCGGGTACGGCGGCTCGGGCGCGCCCCGCATCAGACGCCGCACGTAGCGCCAGTAGGACCGCCGGCGCGCCGGGCCCTCGAGGCCGTCCCGGGCGGGCGCGGAACTGCAGCCCCGGGCGCCGCCGGCCGCCGCTCCCCGTCCCCACGGTGGGGCCGGCCCCAAGCAGTGACGCGCCCGCGCCAGCAGCGTCCCCAGCAGCAGCCCGGCTCCCATCCGGCCCCCGGCGCGCCGAGCACAGCCGCCCGGCCGCCGCCGGCCTCCCCGGGCCCCGTAGGCGAGCGCTCCCGTCGCGGGGGACACCGGGAAGCAGAGTTCCCGCGCGCCTTCCGGGAGCGCCGGCGCGGCCCCAGAGCTCAGCCCGCCTCCGTGACGTCAGCAACTTTATTAGGGAATTCCGCGTTTTACGGTATAATCAGCCATTGGCGAGCGAGACGCAGAGGTGCCCCTTTTCGTTTGCTGTCACGAATGCGTTCGCAGCCTTCCCCCTAGGGCTGCCCGGTGCTCTCCGAGGCCGGCCTCGCGTCCCCGCGGGCGCGGCAGGACGCCCTGGCCATCCCGTGCCCCGGGCCGCGCCGCGGCTGGGTGCAGGGGCGCCGGCTAGGGGTCCGCACCGGGCGCCTCGGCCTGCGGCGCCTCGGCTGAGTCCGCCTGCTCCTGCGCGTCCTCAGGGCGAGCTGCAGCGACGGGCTCCAAGCCTGACTCCTCGGCGGCGGCTGCTGGAGCTGCGAGCTCCGGCACCAGCTCCTCTTCATCTAGACAGAGGACCAGCTCTCTCTTCGGCAGGAGGAAGGCAAGAGGCTCCTGGACGAGGCCGATGTTCACATGCCCAAGGTTTCCGTACTTGGAGAGCTGAGTGGGTGGAATGCCTGACCCAGAAGGTAGAGAAAGTGAAGTAGAAAAAAACGTTTAGTAAATTTAAATATTGATGTGTCACAGGGGAGAAAAACTTACAGGACAGTTTCCACATTTCCATACAGTAAAAGTCATCTTCGTGATGCGGGACAGGAAACTATACTATGAGGCGAGACTTTGAAGGTAATCTGGAATAACACAATGGAGGGTGGATCGAGTTAAAAGCCAAGAGAACCTCAGAAGGCACTGGCTTCCCTGTGCCAGGCCCAAGGGAAGCTCTGCCTCCCCCGGCCCCCACTCCTGGCACAGAGAGAGTGGGCACAGGGAAGTGAAGACAAGTTAGGAAAAATCTTTTTAAAATACCTTCCCTGGACATTTCATATAAATAGAGTCCTACAATAGGTGGTTCTCCTGTGACTAGCTGCTTCCACTTAGCCAGATATACACATACTGTATTATTTAATTTATATGAAATGTCCAGAAAAGGCAAATCTCTGGTAACAGAAAGCTGATTAGGGGTTGCCAGGGGCTAACAGTGGGATTGGGGAATGACTACATTGGGCTAGAGGGATCTTTTTGGGGTGATGGAAATATTTTAAAATTGGATAGTGGTAATGATTGTACATCTCTGTATACTTACTAAAAAACATTGAGTTTTACAAATGGGTGAATTTTATTTAGTATACGAATTATATCAATAAAGTAGTTTTAAAGATCTTTCTCCTCCTTTCTCTTACCTAAGGTCTGTGCTATCTGAGCTGGTGGAAAAAGGACTTGGAGACAGCGATTTAAATAAGGAACAAGGTCTTCCAGGAAGACAGTGCAGAACTGGACAAAGAGCTCTTGCTCCCCACTGCTGAAAGCAGCCTCTTCTGCACGATGGAAGGCCAGGATTGTTTTGGTTACCTAGGAGACAAGGGCACCATCAGTCACTAGAGTAGTCTATCACCATCAGCAGTACCTGAAACTAAGCACAAATGTGCAGCCCTCAAGTTTTCATAAAGAAAGTCATTCCAAACAGTACATTATATTACTGTCTTGTTTAAATTCAGAATTGTCACTCTCCACAGTTCTGTCACTTCATTAATGTATTTCTGACCCAAACCCAACTTGTTTCATTACTGGTACACTTTCCACTTTCAGTAGAAAAGCATCAAGAGGTTCTTGATTCCTAAAGGAGATGACAAGAACTATATTGGATCCAGGAAAATGAAGCAAAACTGTATAAGGTTTTTACTGAGTAAGGCAGTTGAGGTTCCAGGAAGCTAGACTGCTAGAAAATTATAAAAGAACACAGAGCTAGAAAAGAAGATCCACATACAAATAACAGAACAACCTAGCTGACATTCCTGGTTCCAAGTCCTAACTGTGCCTCTTGCTGGTTTTGTGACTTCCATATGATTACTTAAACACTTTGTGCCCTCTGTTCCTCAGTTTCCTTATCTATAGAGTAGGGTCTGCAACAGGACCTACCTCTTAGGGTTGTGAGGATCAAGTCTTAATAGGTATAAAATATGGTGAACACTATCTGGCATGGAGTAAGTTCTCTATAAATATTAGCAGATTACTATTACCTGAATTTCACTGACTACAAAGTTTCAATGCTCATGCTTGCTTTCTCTCACAGGAGGGCATTAACGTTTTTTGTTTTTTTTTTGAGTAACAAGTGGGAAAGCTTATTAAAGCAAAAAGTACACTCTTGAGATATGAGAGCGGGCAAGCTCAAGAGTGAGAGAGCTAGGCCCAGAAAGATTTTATATAACCATGTCACAACTGCCACCCGGCTGACAGCAATTATAAGATGCCATTAAGTTGTAAGAAACATCCCAATATCTAAAGGTTTAAATATGTAAAAAATGTGCAGGATATCATTGGTTGTAGAATTTCTTGTATTATGTAGAATTCTAAGATGGTTCTTTTGAATCCCAGCCCCTGGTATCCACTCCTTTGTGTAATCCCTTCCCCTTGATTGCAGGCAGAATGTGTGGCTTGTTTCTAATCAATAGAATATGGCAAAGGTGAAGGATTTTGCAGATGTAATCAAAGCCCCTAATCAGTTGACTTTGAGTTACAATCACGGGATATCCTGGGTGGGCCTGACTTAATCAGATAAGCCTTTTAAAAAAGGGTTGAGGATTTCCCTAAAAGAAGAGATTTACGCAGGAGAGTTGCTCTCCGTTGGCCTTGAAGAATCAGAAAGCCACACTGTATGGAGTGAGGCGGCTTCTAGGACCTAAAGGCCTTAAACCTACAACTGCAAAGAACAGAAATCTGCCAACATGAATGAGCTTGAAAGGGCACCCCAAGCTTTAGATGAGACTGTGGCCTGACCAACACCTTGACTGTAATTTTGTGAGATCCTGAGCAGAGGACCCAGGACTCCCAATTCAAAGAAACTGGGAAAAAAATAAATGTATGTTGTTTTAGGCTGCTGTGTTTGTTATGCAGCAGTAGAAAACTAATACTTTACTGAATCATTATTACAGGTGAGCCACTTCATGGATTGTTCTAGGTCCCATGATGGGGGACTAACCAGAGCTTCTCAATCAGAAAAATCTCTAAAACCCCACTAAGCCTAACTCTGCAACCACCTACTACATAAACTGGTTTATTTTTTACAAAAGTCTGGTCACCTGTTACCAAAGAAAGCCCCAGTAGAGAGCCAACAGGATGTGCTCACCTTGGCAAGGGCGTCCTCCAGGGCCCTAGTCACACCCTGTGCCAGGGCCACAGGACAGCAGAGGCGCAGATCATTGAAGGCAACCAGAATATTGTTGAGGAAGCAGGCAAGGGGTGGGAAATCTAAGAGCACCATGGGTGGCTGCAGTGTCCCCGGCTGAGTGACTGGCACAGCAGCAGGCAGGTTACTGCTGCCCAGGATGGGTGGAGCTGAGATGAGGGTGTAGGAATTCATTTCATCCTGGAACTTCTCCACTGCTTCCTGAATTGCTTTCTGGAAAGTGCTGATGGCCACCCGCTGGAAAACAGGAGCCAACTGGCCCCGGAAATCGACCCCCACCCGGCTGAAGGATAGCCCAAAGTACATGCACTGACCCAGCAAAGAGTCTAGACGACCACCAATCCCCCGGTGAAGGTCAGTCTCCAGCACCTGCAGGAACTGTGAGATTCTCTGTAGCACCCAGCCGTAGAAGATGGCACTCTCATTCATAGTGTGCTCACCCGTGGCAGGGGGCAACAACGGGTCCTCATCGGAGAATATGGCACGGTACTGGGTGATGATATCGAACAGATGGACACGGCAGGCCTCAATGGTTTTTGTGATGTGGAAATAGGGATCATCATTGGGGATGGCAGTCAGGATGGAACGGAGCCAAGCATCTCGGGCCTGAAGAAACTTCACCCTCAACTCAGCCTCAGTAAAGACATCCATGCACCGCAGGAAGCTAATGACACGGAGGCAGGCAGGGAGCTGGATGTTGGTTCTTAGCTGCTGGATCAGCTGGCTCAGCATCAGCTGCATGGACTGGCGCACTTCATTCACAATGCCCTGACAATATAGGGGGTCAGTCACACCACACTGGGAAAGACACTTCCAGGAATCCATTCCACTACCCCTGAATACTGCAGATCAACATTCCCACTGCTTTTCCTGATATATGAAGATTTCCTAAAGTTGATGTGTACAGGCTTACCAACAAAGATCTAATTCACTGTGGCCATATGTAACTATTCACTGTGGCCTACAGGCCCTGTTTTGTTCTCCTGCCTCACCCGCTTCCTAATTCTGTCCCCTTGCTCACTGCAGTCCTGTCACACTGGCTATCTTTGTTTTTCTTTTTTTTCTGTCTTCGTATTTCTTAAACACTCTCAACTTGTCCCCTCGTCAGTCTGCTATACCTTTTTCCACTTTCTGATTTGCTCTTTCCCCACATCTTCGTGTGGCTGGTTCCTTCTCATCATCTGGTTCTCAGCTTAAATATTATCTCTCCAACAGAGCTTTTCCTCACCACTCTATCTAGGGTACCTCACCCTAGTCTCCTCCTACCCATTCCCTAATTTATTTTCTTCAGACAGTTACCATTATCTGAAAGGATCATGTTATTTATTTATTTGCCAACTATCAACTTACATTCATGAAAACTAGGGCCTTCTCTGCTTTGTCTCATTGTCTTCCCAGCCCCTAGATCAGTGTCTGGTACGTGATTAATATTTATCAGTTGAATGAATGAATGAATGTTTCATGTTCAAGCCTGTCTGGCTGGCAGAAACCGATATGAAACATGCAAAATTTCCCTAAGATTTCTGCCTAAAGGTTCAGTGATGACCACAGAATTACTGATTACAAGAACATCAGTTTGAGTCCTTTTGGGGCAGTTTGACTACCTGGATGACAGGGATGGAGGAGTATTTCCTTTCCAGTCGGTGTACGTAGGCTGCAAGCTCCAGGGCCTCTTCATAATAGCTGTTCCGGACACAGGTGTCCATTAGCTGAGGAATCTCCAGGATTTCCAGGATTTCTGTGTGCCGGTTTAGAGTCAGGGTGTTCATCCGGCGGTTGGAGCTGATCTCCTCAGCTTCTTTGACAAAGTTTCTAGTAACAAACAGGAGAATATTGGTTGCTCACTGCTCTACATCCAAAAGTTAGCTACAATTACCAAGCATTTACTATGAACTGGACACTGAGCTGGATGGTTTATTATTTAATCTCCACACCAAACCTGGGGGTAAGTACTATTACCCTTGAAGCAACTTTAATCCCAGAGAGGCTAAGCAACTTGTCCAAGATCACACAATACGTGAGCCCAGATCTGCCACTTAACTAGTGTTGGCAAGGTACTTAGGATCTCTGAACTCTTTCCTCATTGGTAAAATAGTAGTAGGACCCACCTCATAAGGCTGTGAGGATTAAATGAGATGATGTGTATAAAGCATTTAACACAGAACCTGACACACAGTAAATGTTAATAATAGCTATTCTTTTTGTGGTCACTAACCAGCTTAGAAGCTACAACCTCACCCTCAAATTCCCTCAGCCCCTTAATCTTCTCTTAGGCTGCTGTTCCACTTTTAATTCCACAATCTTCACTTCTCCATAATTGCAGAGACCTGCTTTATGAAGTCCTCTATTCTGGAGGTTGGAAGGGTACAGAAGCTATTGTCAAATATCCAAAGACTCAAAACTTAAACTTTTACCATGAAAGGCAGAATTAAGGATAAGAGACTGAGGATCTAGAGAGGTAGAATATGGCTTAAGGAGAGATTTTTTTTTGATAATTTTTGCTGCATCCAAATGGAAAGATTTCGTTGTCAGCCTTCTCTCAATGGAAGTTTTGAACGGTCTGCGGGTGTAGATTATAGCTGAGAACTGCAGAGTGTTAGCTATGTCAGACCCAATGATAAGTGCTTTGCATGGATTCTCTAATACTCACAACAGTCCTATGAGGGAGTTGCTGCTGGTGTCCAGTTCTAACTTGGAAATTACTAGCTTCCAAGAGCCTCTTCGACAATTCCTAAGCTGTCTCAACTTACTCATAACATTAAATGGGAATAACAGTACCTACCTCCAAAGCTGTTGTGAAGCTTAAATGGATTTTTAAAATGCTCCGAGGAGAGCCTAACCCATGCATGGTAAGTGCTTTGTAAGTGTTAGCTATTTCTTTCATCATAAATGCCAGCTATTACAGTTGCTAAAAGCCCCTTTAGTGCCAAGCCCGCCGCACCTGCAGCTCTGCTGGAAGCTGGGCAAGCGGTCGAGCAGGCGGCCGAGCGACGCCTCCACGTCGCCAAAGAGGCGGTGGATGCGCTCGGTGCACTCGGCGCCTCGGATGAAGGTCTTGTAGTTGGCAAAGGCCAAGTCGCGCGTCTGCTGCAGCAGCTGCGCTCGCTCTTCCGCCAAGCGCTCGGGCTCGCGCCTCAGCCGCTCCAGCCCGGAGCCGCTCAACTCCCGGAGGTAGCGGCCCACGTCGGGCCGCTCCCGCCACTGGGCCTCGGGGAAGCGGTCTCGGAACAGCGATGCCAGGAGCCCTTCATCCTCCACCTCCCCGAGAGCCGCTGCAGTGACCGTCGCCGTGGCAGAGGCCGTGGTTGACGAAGCGATCGTCGCCGTCGCCGCCATATTCCGGCAGCAGCGTCACTTCCCCTCCGGCCCAGCGAGGGCGCTGGCTCGGAATCTAGGCCCGGAAGCAGCCGGGGGTTCATATCCGGCCGGGTTTCTTTCCCGACGGTCCTCCAGGCTACGGGGCGCTGGCGTGGGGAACAAATTGAAGGCGGCTAGAGAGGCAGGCTTTGGGGTTGCCAGGGAGCGGCCGGCGGCTGACTTCCGTTTCCGGCCTCTGAGGCACGCGGATTCGGTGTTGTAACCCAGCGGGAAAATGCGGCCTTTGACTGAAGAAGAGACCCGCGTAATGTTTGAGAAGATAGCGAAATAGTAAGAGGGCGCGGAGGGGAAGGGGAAATGTGTGTGTGGCAGGAAGGGCGCGGGTAGAGTGGGGGCGCGGGGCCGGGAGGAGTCTGTGGGGCGCTGTCTCCAGTCATCCTTTTGCCTTCAGCATCGGGGAGAACCTTCAGCTGCTGGTCGACAGGCCCGACGGCACCTACTGTTTCAGGCTGCACAACGACCGGGTGTACTACGTGAGGTGAGGCGGCGCCGGGCGGACAGCAGTGGCCCCGGGTGGAGGACTGGGTCCCACCAGCTTCCCTCATCTGACACCTTCTTCTTCCTTACCCCTTCAGTGAGAAGATTCTGAAGTTGGCCGCCAACATCTCCGGGGACAAGCTGGTGTCGCTGGGGACCTGCTTCGGAAAATTCACTAAGACTCACAAGTTCCGGTTGCACGTCACAGCTCTGGATTACCTTGCACCCTATGCCAAGGTTTGTAGGATGGTGTTCATTCGCCCCCTGGGGATGAAGGAAGTCAAAGATGGGGGCCACGTCAGAACGCAGATAATTGGGCAGCTTCTCTGCCACGGAGTCAGTGCCAGCACACGGAGATGTTTGCAGGACTTGCTGCTTGGGCATGGTTGGGGTTCTGGCATGGGAATGCGGTGTGGTTGCATAGTCGTGGTTACGTCCCGCAGAGTAGAAAAGCCTATGCAGACCTCACTCAAAAAAGCGCAAATTGGTGGCTTTGGTGAGAGCATAGAGGGATCCAGAAAAAGAGCTTTTGAGCTCTCCATGAGAGAGATTGTAGAGTTGAAGAGAGAACGTCCTGGCAGTTCTTTTTAGGGAGTGAACAATTTGAGATAACCATCGTTTTTCTCTTTTCCTTAAAATGCATTCAAGAAATTAATCACATATCCAGCAGCGGGCTTATCTGCAGGGATACAATAATTAGCTTTTTAATGTCTCTTGGATTTAATTATTATTATTATTTTTTTTTTGTAGTATAAAGTGTGGATAAAGCCTGGAGCAGAGCAGTCCTTCCTTTATGGGAACCATGTGTTGAAATCTGGACTGGGTCGAATCACCGAAAATACTTGTCAGTACCAGGGAGTGGTGGTGTACTCCATGGCAGACGTCCCTTTGGTGAGTAGAGATGGTAGCTGTTATAAAAATCAGGTATCTTTTTAATCAAGAAGGATGTATTTTCAGTCTGTGCGCTTCAGAGACTAAATTCTCAGCACCTTTCAAATTTCTCAAAGAACTGTTTTTTTCATCTTCATTATTTCTACCCCTCAATGCGTGCCTATTGAATGACTTGAGTGAATCAGTGTCTCTTCTTTTGAATCCCAGGGTTTTGGGGTGGCAGCAAAGTCTACACAAGACTGCAGGAAAGTAGACCCCATGGCGATTGTGGTATTTCATCAAGCAGACATTGGGGAATATGTGCGGCATGAAGAGACTTTGACTTAAAACGAAATCATCGCGAGGACTTATGGCTGTGTGGAAGGGCCTAGCTTTGTTTCCTGTGTCTGTGTAGGCTCCATCATCATGTTGAATTTTGTCAACACTGTGACTTCTTCAGGGACTTCTTAGTTTCATATTCTTTCTATTATGGACGAATGCAGGCTGGATTCTTATGCGGAAATGGCTCAAAAACGGTGTTTCGGATCTTTGTGACTAAATAGAATACTGTGTTTTATATTTGAATCAGAGGGCTTCTTGTCTTGAGTAACAGGTTCTAAGTCATTGGAACTGAGGACAAGAATAGCTAGCTTATTGTTATCTGTGATAATACTTTTCCAAACTCACGATAAGAACACGATAGATTTTCATTATTTATTAATACCATGAAAGTCAGATATTGCCATATTAGAACGGTAGGTCATGTATGGGATTTTACAAATGAAATTTGGATAAAATAATAGCAGTTTGTTCTGCTAATTTTCTATATAATAGGTTCTGTGTGGTGTGGAAGAAAACCTTGGATTCAAACCCCAGTTCTCACACCTACCAGCTATATGGCTTTAGAGGTGTCATTAAACTTTGATAAGTTTATTTTCTTCTGCTTCAAAAAACAGCTTTAACCATCTACCTACGAATGGTTTTAGAATTAGAAATCATGTTTGTAAAGCACTTATTAGCACAGTGCCTGGCAAATGTTAGGTTTAAATAAATGGTAAGAATAATTTTTATATTGCATATACTGGGTATTTCTATTACTAAGGATAGGATCTCATGAGTATAGTTTGATTATATATCTTGGTTCTTGTTCTCCTTTTTCTTAGATGGTATGATCCCAGGCTAATGTTTTTTTCATCACCTTGATTTCTTAAAACGTGATTTCCCTTACAAACCTTTACTTACCTGACTGGACTAGAGAGAAAGCACTAATCAGAGACACTGAAATAATTCAGCTCCTCCAACCTTGCCCATGCCTGACAAAATTATTTTTGGAATTACTGAAATATTTTTTAGAAATGAAAAAGTTCCACTAAGTTTTTTAAAACTGCCATATTATAAACGATTTCTTTAAATATATTGCTTTTTTCTTTTTTTCCTGCTTATTTTAAATTCCAAAGGTGACATCTCTAAAAATAAAATTTTTAACTACAAAAAAGCAGTCTACCAATTCCTGTTTTTGTATGTAACATATAAAACTGAGATATGTTTTGTCCCATTTTTTTCAACTCTTCTCCCTCCCAAGGTTCTGTGTTAACCCTCTAGTTAGACTTAGTAAAGGTTAAGGGACTGCTGTATGTTGAACAGTATTGTGATGGTAGCATTTAGTACACACTTTAGTAATAGTTAATATCAAAGCTTGCACATTTATTATTTTATTGCCATTTTGAGGCAATTGGAGAGGAAAGGAGAGCAATAGACTAAGATGTTCTAACAAGATAAATTGATTTTTTTCCAGTAACTTTACAAAGCTTATTTGACTGAAACTTTGACAAAGCTTCTATCCCAGAGGAAAAGAGCTAAGGTGCTATAGTCATTTTGGCTTAGCATCTTGGCTTTTTTGTGTCTGTAGTCTTCGGGACATTGAAGAAACGCTTTAAGAAATACAACTGCAGGATTCCAGAAAGAACAATAACAAGGCTCTGAGCTGTCGACCACCAGTTCACATAGTTATAATTTGATTGGAGAAGGAAAAAGTCAGCGGTTTTCCTCATGCGGGCAAAGTTGTAGTATCTCCACATGTGAAAGATATTGTTTTGCACCTTCCGTGTATTCTCCTGTGGGACAGAAAGTGAAATAAAAAGAGGGTCCTCCCTACCTCCCATCTAGTCTCACTTGGGTGCTCACAAGCACTAATTTAAGTTACCTGGAAGCTGAGTAACTTACTCAATTTTATGATATGTAGTAAGTTGGTTATTGTAGTTGTTAGTAAAGCCGGTTTTGCTGTATATGAAAAAAAAGGTCTGGACTTAGTTTAAAAAGATATAATTTCATAATGAAAAATTTCAGTGCTGAAACTAGAAGGCTCTTTCAGAGTATTTTTAGATTTAGGCATGTATTCCGTACGTCATTGCCGTTCTGGCAATGTCTTCTGTTCTTTGTACACGGTAGAAGACGAAGGCCTGCAAACTTTTTTTTTTTTAAGATTTTATTTATTTATTTGAGAGAGCACATGAGAGGGGTTAGGGTCAGAGGGAGAAGCAGACTCCCTGTCGAGCAGGGAGCCCAATGCGGGACTTGATCCAGGGACTTCAGGATCATGACCTGAGCCAAAGGCAGTCACTCAACCAACTGAGCCACCCAGGCACCCTGCAAACTTACTATTAAGGGACCAGACAGTAAATATTTTAGGCTTTGCAGGCAATACAATCCCTGTTGCAACTACCAAACTCTGCTATTGTTAGCACAAAAGCAGCCATATGTAATTGTCAAATGAGCATAGCTGTGTTTCATTGAAACTTCATTTATGGAAACAGGCAGTGGGCTTTTGTGCATTGAAAAATACTATCAAGAAAGTGAAAAGACATCCCACAGAATGGAGAAAATGTCTGCAAATCACTTACCTGATAAGGGACTTACATCTAGAATATATAAAAAACTTATAACTCAATAAAAAGACCACCCAATTTTAAAATGGGTAAAGGATTTGAATAGACAGTTCTCCAAAGAAGATATACAAATGGCCAAAAAACATGAAAAGATGCTCAATGTCCTTAGCCATTAGGGAGCCAGAACTCAAAACCATAAGATAGAACTCCACACCCACTAGGACGGCTATAATAATAAAAGAGACAGTGGCATGTTGGCAAAGATGTGGAGAAATTGAAACCATCAGATACTGCTGGTGGGAGTGTAAAATGGTTTAGCTACTGAAAAATAGCAGTTATACTCACGAAGCTAAACAGTTACCATATGATCCACCAGATTGTACCACTTCTTGGTATACAGAAATGAAAACATGTTTACAAAAAACTTCATGCAAATGTTATAGCCACATTATTCATAATAGCCAAAAAGTGGACAACCCAAATGTCTATGAGGTGATGAGTGGATAAGCAAAATGTGGTATAGTCATACAAGAGAATATTAGTCATCCATAAAAGGGAATGAAGTACTAATACTTGCTACAATGTGGATCAACCTTGAGAACACACTAAGTGAAAGAAGCCAGAAACAAAGACCACATTGTATGATTCCACTCATACAATGTACAGAATAGGCAAATTTATAGAAACAAAGTTGATTAGTGAATGACTGCCCAGGACTGGGAGGGGGGCATGGAGAAGGAAGAGTGACTGAAGGGTATGGAGTTCTTTTTGGGGTGATGAAACTGTTCTGGAATTAGATGCAATCGTGGCAGGACCTTGGGAATATACTAAAAACCGCAGAATTGTACATTTTAAAATGGTGAATTCTATCTTAATTAAAAAGACAAACGGCAGTGGGCCAGATTTGGTCTGTGTGCCATAGTTTGCCAACTCCTGGTATAAAACAAGTGAGTTTCAAGAGCTCTAAGTCCTAAAAATTAAAGCTTTCAGATCCCTGTGCCTGTTTGGTTTCTCCCCAAATGAGCTCTCACTCAGATGATATTACTTATTTCCAAGGATGTTTCCACAATCTCCCACAAAATAGTTACCTCAATTGCATCCAGAGTATCATTCAGTTGTTTTCTTTCATTCTTCTGTTTGTGGTCCATCTCAGGCCCCTCATAGAAGACTCCAAAATTGAGGTACACTTGCACAGAACCAAAGTGATTTTGCTGATTTTTTAGACAAAGCTGATAAAAACCTGTAGGAATCCCTAGATCATTACCAAATCTTGGTCTCCACCCTTTGTTGACCTACCACCCTCTAGATTTCCCTGGAGATACATGTTTACCAGTGTTAAAGGTGCTACTGTAGTTCCTTCTTTTTACTTAGGAAGTAAAAAGATCCAATTTTTGATGTGGAATACCTTATATGATATTCCATGAAACTTACTTTACTAAGTACCAGTTACAATACTGTGTTTTGCCAAATATTAGTAACTTAGTTCTATAAATTAGTAAATTTGTAAGTAAATTTATTAAGCTCTATACTAGATTGAAAACAATGTTTTCTCCGTCTTTTTCAACTTATATTTCTCACATCTCTTTTTGAAGCTTTTCTGCTTAACAAAATGAATTGAAATTAAGAGCCTGGTATTTTCCTGCTTCTTGTAAACCATTAGAGCTGGGGGATACCATCTTGAACTTGAAACTAGAGAAAAAATTGATGTGTTTTGAATGAAAGAAGCTATTCTGCTGGATGGAGTAACTTCTGCAAGGTGGTTTGTACAGGAACTGATGGTTTAGGGTATGTACTGGTGCTGGTTCTTAACTGGGGTCGCCATCCTTTGTGTATGGGAGTGGGGAGGAGCGGGATTAGAAAGGTGTGGCAGTGTATCTGATTGTCAAAATGATTGGAAGGCACTACTGGCAGGTAGGGGCCAAAGATGCTGAATATCCTGTGCTACACAATGAAGGATTGTTTTATGCCCCGGTTGAAAAGCATTGTCTTTTTTCGTATACCCGGCTGATAGGGCAATTAAAACTGACCCCATGCCGGGGGGTGCCTGGGTGGTTCAGTTGGTTAAGCATCTGCCTTGGGCTTGGGTCATGATCCTGGAGTCCTGGGATTAAGCCGCACGTGTAGGGCTCCCTGCTCAGTGGGGAGTCTACTTCTCCTTCTCCCTTTGCCCCTCCCCCACTTGTGTGCTTGCTCTCGTGTGTGCTTGCGCTCTCACTCGCTCGCTCTTGGAAAAAACAAAAAAACCCCCAAAAAACTGACCCATGTTGTCCAAGGTGGGGACAGACTTGATCTGGCTGTAGAGGTTTTCTGGTGACTGGAGAAGTGCTTTGTTGTGGAATGTGGATATTTTCATGGCTATGCATTTCCTTTCGTTCTGAGTCTGCTGTTTAGTAACTGCCTCAAGTATTATGATAACTAGAAAGAAATGCTATCCTATAATAAATTTGTTAATTGGAATTCTGTATTTTAAATGGGTCTATTTTGGTCACTTTCTCATAACCTGATCAATTGGAGACAATGATATAAAACTGAGCTTCTGGACCCTGGAGTTACAATAATTAGTCACCTGGAGACCCTGTCCTGAATCTGCCAGTGGACAGCCTGCCACTTAATGTCCTCTGCCGCCGGCGATCTCCAATAAAGATTTGATGTTGGTGTTGGAAGGATAGTTTTTGGTGTTCAAGGCGGTTTAGTCCCCCTACTGCTTGATCATCCCTGTGTGAAAAAGCCAGAGCTTTTACATTTCATGTACTTGAGTAATTTCAGTACTTCCTCATTATTGACCCAGTTTCAAAGAAACTTATGATTATTACAGTAACTGTGGTGATTAAAACAGACCTGTCTCTTTGGTAGAGAAGTTTATCTGGCCTCGAACATTCTGAGAGGAGTCTATGAGGAAACCCTGTGGGGTATGTGCAGTGGCAGCAACATGTCGGTCATGTGACATTCCCAGTGTCCGCTGCACCTGCCAAGACACATTAAAGAGGGAGAAAAGCCCCTGCTACATCACCAGAAAGCTAGCTAAGTGCTAAGATTGACATTCCTGATCATCAGCACAGTGGGTCTCAATAAGGGATGGTACTGCCCAATCCTCCCTGGGAGTTTTGATTGAGACAACAGTGGTGTTGGGGGGTGGGTAGGAAGAGACAGCAATGTTGAACATCCTGCCACGTTAGAAACAGTACTGCAAGACAAAGAATTGCCCAAGATGCCAGTAACACTCCTTTTAAGAAGACCTGTCTCAGAACGTACATCTGGTGTATATCGATTGATATGTATGTTTTTGGCTGTAGAGTTGATTGAACTTGCTTGGTTTTGACTTCCCTGGTGGTGTCCCAGACTTGGGTTTACTTGCTGCTTGACAGCAAATAAATAAGGCATTCGGTAGGCACTTCTCCTCAAGCTGGGTCTTGATAAGCCTAGGCTACAGTGAGCTTACTAGTAGCTACTGTTCTGTTGTAAATTCAGAGACAAGAAAAGGCTCTGATAAGCTAATTTAAAATAAACTTTGAGTTACAGTGCAATGGAATAAGATCAACATAGTCTATTACTATGTAAACAAAATTTAGAAAGTTAACAGGTTTCTAAGATGAAGAACAAAGGAAATTAACAGCCTCTGACTTTACTATTGAGTTCACCATCCTTGGGCACTGTGGTGTAAGACCACAGGATGGATAAATGTCCTTGGCCTGTAAACAGGCAACTTGAAAACATTAACCTTCCTTAAGAAACAGAGGATTGTCTGGCCAAATAGAGAGACCTTCAGCCAGTGATTCTGTAGTTTGCCAGAATTACCCCTTAAAGAGGGAGACTAAATGTGGCTCCCCCAGTCCCATAAACTGAAGCATCTTTCTTTGAAATCTAAGGGTCTGTTGCCAAAGTTCATGTAAGTTTTCATTTGACTTTGTACCATATCCTTATTGTTTTATTATTTTAAAAAATGGATTCTCTCTCATCTCCAAATCTGAGTTAATATATGATTACCTCTCCAGGAAGAGGCAGTCTGTTTGTCCCATAGCTTTGAGCACACCTCCGTTGCCCCCAGTTTGAGAAGTCAAGCCATATGTTTTAGTGATTATTCATCCATCAAGAGTTTCCATCTAAATGCAGTTCCATTTCATTAACAGGTAGGGAATCACAGCATAATAAAGACAACCAGAATCTTCTATTTGAATAAAACCTGACCCACTTTGCAAAAGGAAACAAAAAAGCAAGTCCCCAGTATGGCCAGAGGGGCCCATGTACTCACCTCGTAACTGAAATAGAAGTATCCAGTCTGGCGGGCAAATTGCCAGAAGCATTCTATGCCTCCTGGAGGGATCATGATGGCAAAGTCAGATTGATCTGCTCCATGGAAGAGCAGCTGGTCCCCAGAGCCACTAAGGGGTTCTGTCTCCTGGCTCCTAGCAGAAGTCACTAGGTTCAGAACCACCAGTCCAGCCCCAAAGAGCAAAGGGAACATGCTGCTTTCTGGAGATTCCACTGCAGGTGAAGTGCTTGCAGTCTAGTGAAACCAAGTAGTTTAGACAACTGCTAGGGTAATCATTAACTTACAAGTCACACTTAGGCCAGTTTCAGGGCCACACATGGATATTCCATAATAGAACTGGCATGATATCCCCATGCTTGGCTCACGGGAAGAGTTTTTGTTTTTACCTCAGAAACTCAGTGGCTTACCAAACCTACTTCATGGGTGCTAGATAGAATCTACTTTAGAAGAGGTATTTCTGTCCTTCCTTTGGGTTATCATTTTTCAGTTCTTCTTAGGAATAAACATTGGGTAAGTTTATTTACAACCATCTGAACATATGGACAAAGTTTGCCTAGAGAGATTTGTTTCTCCTGTTTGTATCAAATTGCTAGGTGATACCTATTGCTTCAGTAAGATACGTGGGGCAGACCTCTTTCAACAGAGTATTTTCTGCCCAGTGCTAGATCTTAGCAAAAAGCATAGCATGGAAGTGTGTGCAAAAATTTTAATGGACAAATAAAGTGAGCAAGAGGCAGTGGTCAAACTTCTCCACTGATAATTCTCGTTCTACTTTCCCCCTGACTGATCTGTTCTTCTAAAGCTATTGAAAAACCCACTTAAAGAGTATTTATATTGTTCAAACCTTCAATCTTTTCTCCTTTATGACTTCTTCAGCAGGGAAAAGGCTCATTGAACACCCACTGACTTCATGGCTGGCATTGAGCTAAGAGATTTACTTGCTTCCTATATGTTCTCACAACAGCCCTGGGAGGGAGATACCATTACCTACTGCCTTAGAGATGAGGAAATGGACATTCAGAGATTCCAGTGGCCAGCTCTGTGTCCCAGAAGCACAGCTGGTGCAGCTGGGGCCCCGAGTGGGTCTCACACTCTTACCTATCAGGACAGTGTTTCTGTCAGTCTCTGAGTGCTGATAGTGCCTAAATGTTTTGATTTCAGCCATAATCTTAAAAAAACAAAACAGCATCAGCACCTTCTAACCAGGTATTGCTTCACTGCATTGACTCCCAAGTGGTAATCCCTTAAGTGTCATAAACTAAAAAGCAAAGAACAGACCTCATAACTGTATTCAGTTCTAGCAAAGGCCACGTAACATCACAGTACTCTGCAGGCCCAGTGGCTCTCCATCAGTCTTGCTAAGGTGAAGGTGGGAGAGACTGGGATCACTTCCCAATGCACAAGCATACCCACCCACATCCTATCATTGCTACGGTCCCAGCACTACCCATGTCATGAGCAGTGACTTAGATTCAGCAAAACAATCATCAGTTCATAGTATGTATTATAGTTCTATAGAAGGTGTAGGCATAGTTTTATGTTTGTACACATTTCAGGAATAGTATAAAAATACCCCTGAAGTTACGTTAAAAAGTGTTAATGGACTTACGCATTTCTCAATTGGAGAAACACTGATAAGGATATTCTGCTTCCTTAAATGTATCACAGTGTCACTCTTCTACCCAGAGAGCGTAGTCTAATAATGTTAAACGTGGAAGAGATAAAAACTCCTGGATCCTAACCACATATAGAGGAAGACCACAACTAGCTGCAACCAGATCGAGAGGGATCGAGAGTTTCATCCTTTCACTGTAGCTTCATTTGGGGTTAACTGATGGAAAAACAGTAGTACCAAATCCCAAAACATGTAAATAGATTATAAAGCTGTACAAAGTTTCTAACTTGTACCTACAGGATGAATTTTAAAACTGTACCTTGCCTTTCACCGACTCAAAAGTGAGAAAGGGGGAATTCTGTCCCAAAAATATGTTATATGAGGACAAATTAAGAGGACATTTCCACATTTCTGTTTGACATGGCTTTCAAGGATTAAAACATCCAATACAGTCTGACATCAGCGTCTTAACATAGTCAGCATGGTTCAGCAAAGCTTGTTCAACATTTTGCTACCTCCAACTGCTCATACATGCTGTGCTGGAATTAAATAGCTACTTAACATTTGAGAGAAGCAAGACTTTAATGAAGAATGCTACAAGTTATGGACAATAATTAGTTCTCATATTTTAAAAAAAGATTACAGAAAACACTTTACTGATTTTGTGTGTGTGTGTGTGTGCCAAAAAGACAGTCTTTAAGGATGTCCGAGAGAGACAGCAAGCACAACACGGTACAAAAGGAGAAGGGAATGTTGACTTTTAGAGCAAGACACTAACACAGCACAATAAGGGTATCAGGCGGAAGCAACCATTTCACAAAGAATGGAATTAAGCATTTATATTCAGTCAGGATTTTTTAAGCTTTAAAAGTCCAGCATAAGGAAGGGAACTGAGCAGAGGGGATGGAGGAAAAGGCTAAGCTTATCTACAATCACCGTTTTACAAAAAAACACACTGGTTCAACCACAGGAGAGGTGGAGGTTAAACCTGCCTACGTAGCCCAGCAAATATTAAGAGCAAATGCCAAGGCTGTCAGGTCTAGATGTTGATGTTACAACTGGCTGAAGAGTTTTTAAGAGACTCTGACTCCACCAGGCCTGGGCTCTCATTAGCCTGGGTTCATGACAGATGAAGTTCCTTTGCATTTGCATCAGAAGGCCAAAGCTTTACCTGGAACAAGTTCACTCCAAATAATGCTCATGTTGCTGGTTTTAACAGGTCAAAGTCATAAGTGGCTCCTGACAGACTCCACCATTTCCTAGGAGAAGGTTCTACTGATTACCAGGGATTTAAATTCAAGCAAACCACTAAAGAAGGGAAATACTAATGATATTCTGGCACTGTACAAGCTATGTGCCTGTCATCTCTGCCAAGGACACGGGGTGGACTTGGCTTTGTTTCTCAGCTCCATGATCTCCAACATTGATGAAGTAGAACTGCGACCTCCCCCATGTCGGAGGAGGATGCCCAAAATTCTCATTCCAGCCCAGCTTCTGAAAGAAACAACAGACTATCAGGGGCTATTATTAGGAACCATGCTCCTGTGAATTCTGTGGAAATGAAAGCCTGTTGTTTCAGTTCATGCCAAGTCTTTTCATGGTCCGCCAGCGATCCTTAATCATCACAGCTGTTCGGTTAACAAATGGGTAATTTTTGGAAATGGCAGCCCAGTTTCCTTCCCCGTATTTCTGCACTCCAGCCTTGACCCACTCGCTTTCTTCTAGAGTCCACTTCTGCAAAAGAAGACCAAAATATTTATCACAACCTGTCTCTCCACTTATTCACATTTTCATACAGTTAAGAGGTAAACTCAAGAATCCTAGGACAAGAATCTAAACCCAAAAGAAGGGTTTATATTTTTAAAACACGATAGAAAAAAAAAAACAAAACACGATAGAGATAAGTTAACACTGTGGATTTAGACATTTAATAATTTTCAATGTCCTCCTATTTCATCCTAATCACTTCTGCATTCAAAACTTCAAACGTTATGTTGTTCATGGTCAGGAGAATGTGTCAGGTTTCTGTTCCAGATTTTTCTTCCAGAAAATAACTATTACTTTAACTCCGTTTGGATTATCTGAAAATTGCAAAATACCTTTTTACAGGTACATGGGTAGCCTATGCTAGGAGATGTGCTTATTTTACCTCTGTTCTACCCACATTACCAGAAAAGGTAAAAAAAAAAAAAAAGTAATTTTAAATTACCTGCTTTTTTGTTATACTGGTTGTACTCTCTTCATCTGGTGCTGCTGGAAAACATTAAAAGTAGACTCATTTCAGAGTTGACCTTTCTCTGCACAAACCACAAGAAAAAGACATAGAATGTTCCTAAGGGGAAAACTTGACTGAAATTTCTCAACATTGAGAGAAGAAGGATATCACTGAAGAGTAATTTGTTTTTGTCCTTTGTTTGGAAGATATCAATCATTTCAGCCAATGAGAATCTGTACAAAGCAAATATTTTACATACAGACATTCAATAAATATTGGTTAGTGATGGATTTCAGGCTCTTTAGTAAAACCTACATGATTTTTTAAAACTACTGAGGGACTGTGGTATTTAAAACCCTAATATATACACATCTACAGGTGATCCTTAAAGAATGCAGGGTTTAGGGGCACCAACTCCCCATATAGTCAAAAATCCATGCTGACTCCCCAAAAACTTAATAATAGCCTACTGTTCACCAGAAACATTACCAATAACATAAATAGTCAATTAACACATATTTTGCATGTTAAATGTATCATATACTATATTCTCACAATAAAGTGAGCTAGAGAAAAGGTTATTAAGGAAATCATAAAAAAAATCATAAGAATATATTTACAGTATTATATTGCATTTTTAAAAATGTGTGTAAGTGGACCTGTACATTTCCAACCTGTGTTGTTTACAGGTCGACTGTATTATATACTTGTGTGTATGTGTGTGTGTGTATAATTTCTGCTTTGTAACCCCCTGCTAACCACTGCTTTGAAATAACACAATTTTACTGTTTTATGCCAGAATTTTCAAATCCCTGATCATTTTACGTAAATAATATGTGGTTCAGCTCCTTAAGCAAAAGAACAGGAGAGTTCTTGCTCCCCACTCAGAGAGACCGTAGGAGATCTGCTCAAGCTCCACCCTCTCACCATATGGAAAGACATGAGGCCTCAAAAAAACGCACCAAGATAATTTTTTTAAAGGCCAGAGGACTACAGAAAGGTCTACTAGTATAAAAAACATGCCACTGGAAGCCAACAAGAGCCATTAAAAAACTGCAAGAAAAGGCAAAGTTGCATAAACATGATTTGCTGAATGTCTGCTTCAGCAGATGCTATTGTCCTAGCAGTGCTTCCTAAACAATGAAGGTGGCTCAGGAAAAGGGATACTTAGAGGAGCAGATTATTTAGTTTTAAATTATGAAGTATTTCATACTATAGTGGAAGCAGATTTTAAAGTTGACAAATCTGGACTGCACTGGATATGGATGTTCTCTAGAACTTTTATATCCTGTTGTTTTTAAATATTTTATGCCACTTTTATTGATTTTCTGTTACTTCCCCCATTTCCTGTGTGATCTTGATCTTGCCAACTATGTTTGTGCCAATGAAGGTACTTTTTAAGGACAAAACCTTTGGGGCTGGCAGAGGTTTACTGTTGCTGTGTTACCAAAGTCTTTAGAATCTCCAAGATTATGATATTTCCATTAGAATGCAAAGTATGTGGTGGGAGAGATTCTACTGCAAATGCTATGAACTTTAGTATGAATTATGGAAAATTAAAGTTTCCTATTTTAGAAAAAAAATTATATATTGAAACTGGTAAGAGATTTTTTACTTAAACAGGAAATGCAAGGAATGACCACATCTATCTTTTTTAATTAAAAGACTTTAGGAAGATCATCAGCTACAATTAGATATAGGATTTATTAAAACAAAACCAGGCATTCTCTTTAAATATAAAGTGCTGCTTTGACAGTCTCCATTGTTTAATGGGAAAGGACATAAAACTGACTGCTCATGAATCACAGTAAGGAACTTACTGGACTTCTTCTAGTTTGGAGACAAGCAGTTTTTATAACATTAATGTGATAGTAACACGCATCTATCATGCATCTATCATTCAGCTAATATCAAGGACTGAGGAGAATGTCCTAGCTTACCCTGAACTTGAAACAGTTCATCCTCTTCCACCCATGTCTCTTTTTCTTCAACCCCATTAGAGCTGTTCCACTTGCCTTTGGGTACTCTGAGGGGAGATCAACAAGAGGACAAGATGTAAAACAGATCATTGGGGTCATCCCATATTCTGTCCTTGGCTCTCTCACAGCCTATACTCCTCCCTGTTCTGCTGTGACCACAGTTGAGATTCACTTAACACACAACTCCCAAATGCTGACCTGGCTAGGCATCTCCATGTCATCCTCCCGCAGGCTGCAGGATCATCCCTCAAACTGAGCAGTGAATACACCACTAACCCCTTCAAAATCTGCTCATTTTCCTGGTTTTGTTTGGTTGGTTTTGACTCTGATTTTGAAGGTCTCAGCATTCTTCTAACCTCAAATGAGCAAACTGCTCCCAGTCCTTCAAAGACATGCCCAGTCCTATCTCTGGACTGCGCTCTTGTCCAAGCACATGGTACCTTACACTGGTCTCTTAACTGGAGTCTCTGTCCCTAGCCCCTTCCCCTTCCAAAACCACCTCAACATCAGTCTAAAATTACCTCATCCTTTCTCTGTTCCATGATCACTTCTCACTGCCTCAACAATGAAGCCTGTATGGAGGATCAGTCAAGATCATCCACTCTGGCTCCAGCCAGTTTCTTGCTACCAAAGCCTCCTCTCTCCAACCCTGCCCCCACAACCGCATCAGCACAAACAGCAGAGCCACGCCTTCTGCTCCTCTTTTCCTTCTATAAGCTCTATACTTTCCTCTCTACAGTTCCCTCTGCTTAGGATTCCTTTCCCTGCCAAGTAAAATTCTACCCATTTTTTAAGACCATCATTCCCAATGAAGCCTGCCCTAAATCTAGGCCCCCAACACACACACAAAAACCCCACTCCTCTGCCCTTGTGGTTGTGCTTCCACTTTATTAAAACAGCCATTTCATAACATACACCCTAATCATAAGCACGTTGCAGGCAAGGGCTGTATCTTCATCTGTCCATCCCAAACACCTAGCACAGTAACACATACCCTAACAGCAGCTGGAAAAACATGCTGAAGTAAAAACAGGATTATCAAAGAGCTGCAAATAAATTACACCATTGAAGATTAGAGTAGTAAGCAAGTAAGAATCCTTTCTGTGCACATGAAATGTTAAGTACTTGAGTATAACCAAAAATGCCAAAACTAAAAAATAATCCCAAACCCAAGTTATTGAATTAATGAAAACTGTAGTCAGTCTTTTCTAATCAACTGTAACCGTGTTTACCTGATTAATAGTACAATTGCCCTGGGAACAGAACACAGCACAAATCTGACCTCAGAACTGTAACATCTATTACAAAGCAACATGAGAAGTATCTGAATTAAATTTGAAGAAGTTATATAGATCAAATCCTGTAACACTTGATCAAGAGAGTAGAGACAAACCTCAGTCTCCTTCCCCCACTATGACCAGAGGTTTATTTTTAGGGCTGGCTAGGTATTTTGCAAATGAGTAATGAAAGCAGTTTGTTTAAGAAGTACAGACTTGAAAAAAATTTGAGTTCCATGAGTTTTCTATGAAATTACTTACATGGCTGAGACAAATGGTGAACCATCTACTTTTCATTATGTTTGAATTGGTTCATATCCCCCAAAATGTTATTTCTGAGAATAATTTGCTTGAGACAAGTGAAAAGATTACATGAGGTTTTTTCCTTTTCGGGATATTAACTGTGTTAATTACTATTTATAAATAAGTCAGGATTATAGTTTCAATTTTCTACCTGCTTATCCCCATGCTGGGATAAAACTGATTTTAACCTCTGGATCTGTCATTTCCACCTGCGTTATCTGCTCATTCTTCCTGCAGACAATCTGCACAGATCATTTTGGTAACCTCCTGCTCTTCCTTTGAACTCAGCACTTACTTTGTGTACAAATGTTTGGTACTGCCTAACTTCTATTGTAGAAGAGGCTGAGATCTGGGTCCTCATCTCACTTTTTGATGGCTCTGCGGTCCTGGGCAAGTCAGGTCACTTCCTGGTCCTTAAGCTCCTATTTGTAAAGTTAGACCTTGATGAGCAATGAATGGGCTAGAGGGGCCTGGTCTCAAGGGGTCGGCAAACTACAGCTTGTGGCTGGTTTTTGTACAACCTTTGAGCTAAGAATGGCTTTTACATTTTCAAAGAGTTGTAAAACAAAACAAAACAAAACAAAAAATAAACAACAGAGACACAAGTGTCCAGAAAGCCTAAAATGTTAACCCTTTGCTGGCCTTTTATAGAAGTTTTGGGTATGACCCTTTAAATTGCAAAAACCAAGAATTATTTGGTCAATAAATATCTAATCAGCACTTGTCCTTGCCAAGTGCCATAGAACATATAAAAATCTAGTAGTTGTGACCCTGCCCTCCAGGTGATACACCCTAATCCTGCCTTCAATTCCACCAGCCCAGCTTCCTCCAGGTCCTAACTACTCATCCCGTAGCAGTCTCCAGCCACCCATCTTGTCTCCTTTGCCTCAGTGCTGGTTCAAAAGCCATCAATGGTAGCTCATCAGGCCCTCAGATTAGCTGTATTAGAATTATCTGGGGGCACAGTTAGAAAAGAAGATTACAGACCCATCCTCTGCCCCTTCTAATTCAGTACTCAGGAGCCTGGGATTGTGTATTTTATTAAACATTCCACAGGTAACTGTGATGCGAAACCCAGCTTAAGAACCTCTGCCTGATAGAATACAATAGGAACTCAAGACCTTGGCCCATCTACCCATCCAGACATTTCTCCCTTCATCCTCTCTGTGCATTATATTCTTCTGCCATACAGAGTACATGACATTTTCTGGAGCATACCAGGCTTTCTCATGACTTTATACAAGGGGTTTCTGCTGCCTAGAACCCCCACTCCACAATATGCTTGATGACTTGCTACTCTTCCCTCAAGGTCAGCTCAACATTTGCTCCTCTGCAAGGCTTGATCTACCCACAACTTTGCTGAGCAGATTCAGCTCTTCTTCCTGGAGCTCCCGGGTAACTCACACAATTCCTTTACAACCAGGCTGTTCCTATAAAGGTACAGATAATATCTTCAGATTTGTAGGCCTTACTGGCTCTGTTCCAATTACTCAACTCAGTGTAGCATCAAAAGCAGCCACAGACAATACATATATAATGTTCGTGGCTGAGTTCCAATAAAACTTTATTTACAAAAATAGGTACCAGGTAGATTTGGCCCAGGGGCTGTAGTTTGCCAACCTCTGCTTTAGAGAGTACCCATCATACTTCATGCCCTTGACACATGAGAGAGGTGGAAAGGTCTAAACCTTCACAAATCCTCCCATTTATAAAACCACTGTAACCATATACTCTCTATAGTTTCCTTATCTGTTCATGGGAATAATAGCTATACTTCATAGGACTATTGCAAGGAATAAAGGAGATCATGTATCAAAGGAGAATAAAATGTGTTGAGCGCCATTTGCTTGCCCGGCCAATGACTCACTCACTTCCAGATGCAGGTAGTGGTACATATAGTGAAGATTTATGCCTGAGTATTAATCATTTAGATGTCACAGCCTCTCTGGGCATCTAGCACGTGCATGTCAGAGCATAGGTCCCCACACAGCTACAACAGAGCAGTGGTAGAGATGGCAATGGCCTTGGGAGACCAGCAAGGTGATCACTAACAGCAGGGTGACCAGGGTAGATTCATGGAGGAGGCAGAATTTTAAGAGGCAGCTTGGTGTATGTGTTGTATAGGCCATGGACTTTGAGTCAAGATCTGAGTTCAGGTCCCTCACTGGGCTCCACACTGGGTGTGGAGCCTACTTTAAAAAAAAAATCCCAAAGCCCAACTTTGCCACTTTTCAGGTTTGTGACTTCAGGCAAGTTAATAACTTTTCCTAAACCTTCTAAAATGGGGCTAATATATCATTCACAGAATGAGGATTCTAGAGATTCAGTAAAATAATATGTGAGAAGTGCTTGGCCCATGGAAAGTACTTAGTCAATATCAGC